GATTCCTTTGTAGAATATAGTTCAAAATCATATATTTTATGTCAATAAAAAGTACAGCACAAAATATAATAGATAAAAATTATCCAATGATAATGGAAGAGAAATCAAGCTTATTGAAGTACAAAAAATTTTCTTAATAGTGCAATTTTTTTAATAACTTTATATGGAAACTGCACTAAACTGTTTGATTAGTTAATTAAAAGTTGCATTTTAAAGGTTTTTTTTGTCGATGTTTGAACCAATAATGATCATTGATTTAGATTTTCAAACATATATCATCAAACATTCTGTGGTTGTTCCATAATTTGAAAGATTTCAAAATATTATAGAAGCTTAAGGCATTTCCATTTGTAAAGATAAGAAGTTCTAGATGAATTTTCTGACAAGACTATAACATTATTTTATATTACTTTATATTAATAAATCTGTAAATTTCATTAAATTTAGTTGAAACGTATTATTTTATTACCACAGTTATAAATAAAATCTTTATAGTAAAGAGGAGATTAAAATATAATTCTAGCAAAAAGAGCACAATCATGTTTTCTACCATACTTTTTAAAGATACTGCATCAGTAACAAGAAATAAATAGAAACAAAATGTTTTAAAATTTATTTCTATTTTAATTATTAGTTACCATTTAATTATATGAAAATAGCAGTAATGCAAAGTCATTTTTAGATATAAATAATGTTATAGTCTTGTCAGAAACTGTAAAAACTATACATACTAAACCCCAGTGAAAGAACCTTATTAAATTTATTTTAATTAAAATGTTCTTTTTAAAAGAAAGTTAATGTTTCATGAGAGGAGTCACATGTTTATGGCTCATTCTGGAAACACCCCTTTAAGAACTTCTGAAGAACTAGTTACCTCTGCTAACATCAACCCAGTTTTAATAGGAAGTGTAAAAGTTGCAAATTAGATCCTTGGATGTAAAATTTTGATTTGATTTTTCAACAAAAAAAAAGTTGGAAGTACAAGTTTGGATTTTAATTCATTTTAATTTTTAATCTAACTTTTTCCAACTGTTTTCTTGGTTAAAATTTAAAAACTTCAAAACAGAAATTAAAATTATAAAATTGGAATTTTTTAAAAGTATATCTGTTCTTTATTTTATAATCTATTACTACATTTTAATATTTCAGTTTTAATTTGTTTTTATAGATTTTTTAAATTTGAATGTTTCTAAAAAAGTATTTGTTTTGTTTTAAAATAAATTAAAATATATTATTTTGTTGTATATTCAATCTTGTTATTTTTTTAAGCTATTGATCTGACAATTAGATTTACAACTTACCAAAAAAATCATTTAATCAGAATAAAATTGAATAATGCTCCTTGAATGATTTGGTGTGTTTAGTTTCTACATTTTCTGTGAAGAAATGAGTTGAATGATACAAGGTTACATTTTTATACTGATAAAGCAACTAAGTTAACTTATAACAATGTCTCTGTTTATATTGAATGTAGAAAGACTGAAAGAAGAAAACTTCAACAATATTTCATATTATTTATAATTCAAAACTTGAAATAAATAGGCTATATATAAAACAAAGAATGATTGATATACATACATACATATATATATATATATATATAATGTATGTATATATGTATATCAATCATTCTCTTTTGGCAATAGTTATAAGAAGTAACAAATGTAAATGTGACCATGTACAATAATTCCAACTTCATAAGGAAATTTAAAAGGATTATAAATGCTCAGAATGTCAGTTTAAACTGATGAACAAATGTTCTAATAAAAAAAAAAAAGAAATCAAAAACTCTATTGGTATTAAATAAGTTTGAAGATTTATAAAAAAAAAACTATTTTTTGTCTTTGGTTTATTTCATTCAATAGCAATAACATTTGTACTTTTTCAAAATATTCTCAGTTATCATAATCTTTAAATCATAAATTCAGCTTTTCAACTTTATGATTAAAATATTAAGCAATTTATAGAAATTATTTTATATTTATTTTGAGGCAGTTCAAAGTTATGATGATATTTTATTGTAAGTGTTTGTGATTCTATCTACAAATTACATCTAAAATATTATTATCAAATAATATTCTATCTTTGTTCTTTATTTCTATAATTTTCTGATAATATGAACACTTCTCAAAGAGCAGAATAAACAATTCATCTATCAAACTTTAAAATGTTATCTTGTACCAATCCATTATAATAGGCTAAATTATTGTTTTCATTTAACTGTCAAATTCAAATTACCATTGCTTGTGAACTGATAAGTTCTTATTGGCAAACAAAATACTGCTATCTAATTATTATTTATTTTCTGATCAGTTTCATATTTACCAGTATTTTATTACCTTATTTAAATTAACATTATGATTAAATAGTTCAAAAAACAAAATAACTTGAAAGTTTGTAAATACTGTACTATGGTACATTTTGGATTTAACATGATGATTATTTTTTTCTCTAGTAATAAGATTGTTTTTCTCTTCCAAATATCAAAATGGATTAATTTTAAAATATTTTTTGCATATGTTCAATTTTATTGATTGTAAACAGACTTAGCAATCAAACATTTTGATTTAAATAATAATAATAAAATATAAACATGCTACATATAGAATAAAATATTCTCAATGATATATAATTTGGATAAGCAACTAAAATAGGATTAATAAAACTAATTGAATGATCAAATAATCAAATTTATATTTTCAACACTGAGTTATACATCATATGAAATATCATGTATAACTTTCTCAATACTAATTTTATTAATGCATCTTTTATCTTAATCATTTGAAAAAATGATCACAAATCTTTAGAAAATAAAAACTGAATATCATTCTAACTTGTAGACCAAATGTTTCACAGTTGGTCTGACAGTTAATACAGGTGAATATTGTCAATCTGCAGCAAAACATTTGAGCTACTAAATGTACTGAAAATATCCAATATTTTTCATTAATAAGCAATGATTAAAATAATAAATATACATACAATTATTACTAAAAATTAACATATAATCAAATAATTTTAGATGCTAGATTCGTATAATTTTGTGAGCCAATAATAAATGATTTATTATATTCTTTTTTTATTAAAATAAAAAAGTATTATAATAAAATATTTTTAATTATTAAAAACAAATTATAACAATTGTCATAAAGTAGCAATACTTTACACAAACTTAAAAATATTATTTTTGACAGAAATAAATTGTACATATTATAGTAACTGTAATCAATAATTTAAATATATATCAAATTATTTTTATTCAAAAACCAAATCTATACTAAAGCCTAATTTATTAAATAAGCTAAATTTTATTACAATAGGCAATTATAAACTAAAATTAAGACCTATCTGTCTACAGTATTTCCTCTTCCATCACTTGGTTTGAGTCATCCTGCTTGTTAGATCTTTCAAGTCTATTGTAAGTGTAAAAAAGGATGTCCTCTTTAATTTCACTAAATTCCCCAGCATCAAGTGATCTACTTTTTACAATGTCCCAACCAACATGTGTTTCCCTGGACTTTCTCTAGATAAGTATATTTATCATTGTTATATGACACCAGTTCAGTTCTACAGCTCATTTCAATCAACACTGACTTACAGTACGTAGATTACACACAATACAAATGATAAATATATTTTTATCATTAACTTATCAATACCACATTTTGTCACTATTTCATCAAACATATTTGTTAATATACTAATTTTAATTAAATGAGATGTAGAAGAATAAAGTTTCATTCATGTATAGATGTAAAAACATAATAAAAATAGTTTAATTAAAACGAAAAACAAGCAGAATAGTTGTGACTTAGAAAATTTCATGCGAATTTGATTGCATCTATTGATTGGCGTCCTACTAACTGAAAAGTATTGCAAAACATACCAAAAACACAGCTTAACTGAACTGCAAAAACTGAACACAGCTTACACACTTTTTCAACAATTAATTTTAATTAAACTATTTAATTCTATTTAATATTCTATTTAAAAACCTAATGAAGGGTTATCAATCAAGCCAAAAACATTAGTTTAAAATTAATTGATGGAAAAATATATAAGGTGTGTTCAGTATCTTTATATACTGTGGTAGTTCTAGCTTTGACTATTTTGAATACACCAAAAGCTGTATGATCTATTTTTGTTTAAATATTCTGTTTGAAACACTTCAGATCTTGAGAATTATTTTAAGTAAAATTATAAAGACAAGAAAACATTATTTTTGTACTGTCTCACCCAATTTGTTTCACAGAACTAAATTTCCTCAGTTACAACAAAAAAAAAAAGGAACTTGATACAGGTGGCTATCCCAAAAGCTGTCTACAATCTATTTTTGTTTAAATATTCTGTTCGAAACACTTCAGGACTTGAGAATTCCTTCATATAAAACCATAAAGATGAGAGGAAAAAAAAAGACACCAGTTCATACTGTCTTACCCAATTTGTTTCACAGAACTAATTTTCCTCACAGTTATAACAAAAAAAGGAACATGACACAGGCATGAAGTTACATACAGAATCCACACAAACATTTAATTAGCTATTAACTACAAACAGTTCATGTATTGGACATGTCATTAACATAATTAATTTGAATGATAAATATAAATATCAGCCAATTATCACTGAAAGATCTTACACCCACATGACCAGCGATGGCGACATTTTTAATGTTGTTTTCTGTATATAATTGTATAAGTCACTTTAACAGTTTAAATGAATGCAATAATAAATAAAATAAATAAATGTAGGTCATAGAAAGGATTCTCATATTTTGCATTGTAATTTTCTATCTTTCCTGTTTTAAAGAAAGTATGCCATTTAAATCCTTATTCATCACATAACACATCACTTTATCGTATACAAAACACGAAAAGTGACTTATAATGACGTCACATCGTTGTAAATACATTGAACAACAGTTTAAAACGTGACAAAACACATTACAATTTGAAAAAATACGAAAATAACACTAAAAATTCATGAATAAAACTCACCTTTTCTACGAAAACTTTTTTAAACGACGTTTAACCCTAACGACTTGTCGAGCTTTAAAACCGAATCGGCGTTAATACGTGCTTTATAAACAATTAAAAATGGCATAACTCGCTTCTAAACACTTTAATTCGTCTTAAAATATCGAAACGGACTTTAAAAAATTTAATTTTTCACGAGTAAACAATTCCCAAACACTAATCTCTAGTCCGTTCGTCCCGATCTTTGATTGGGGAAGTGTGTCGGCGCACGCGCAGAAAATTATTTCCGGTATGTCGTCTGTTCGTTTGCAAGTGGCACTAAAAAAAAAAAATTGGAAAATTCAATCAGGTGGTTGGACTCTTTCTTTATTTTTAATAAATCTATTTTTATATTTTTAAACGTGAGTTTTGTACATATTAGAATTAATTTACACTTTATTTAACGTTTTGTCATACGATACTCTAGCGGATTATATGTATAATATTACTTTTTATAAAGAAATTAAAAAAAAAAAATAAAAAGAATCAAAAAATTCTTCTAAGAATTTCAAATTGTTAAAAATAATTTTTTTCTAATAAATCTGCGCTTTTTTATATCTAATTATTTTAAATTTCAACGAGAAATGTAAAAATATTAATTAATTTTATTGTTTAGAAAAAAATGTTTCGCGATTTAAAAATACTTTAAAAGCTTAAAAAGTTAATAATTAATATTTTTTACGTTTTTAGAATATAATACAATCAAATTTAATTATACTCTTATATGCAGAATTTTTACATATAATTTTATTTTTAAAAAAATAAATTTTGGCTATTGACAAAAGTTATTTTATTATTAATATAAATATTATAAACGTTTATAAAAGTTTTAAATTGAATACAAAATTAATTTTTTATAAATAAATGACGTTTTTATTACAATATGATGTTCAATGACGTAGACATATGTTATATGTATATATATAGTGTTTATAAGAAACGCCATTTTTAATTAGTTTTTAAAAAATATCGAAATTAGTATTTAATAAATATTCGCAAATACCAAAAATTAACATTAAAATGTGCTATGTTATCATCACAATTAACAATTTGAATTAAAAAGGCTCAAATTATGTGATAAAGTTCTCAATTTGATTTTTTTTTAATTAAACTTTCGTAGAATGGCCTGTGGATTCTAGAAAACACTTATAAAGCTCCAATAAAATTCTCATGAGTGCCTGGAGGGGGTTGAGTGGATCAGGGCCTCTCCAAACTTTAAGATTAGATGTCCAACAAGGTTCACGCTAAACTACATTTTGCGATCTTACTTTGAACTCAGCGCCATTTGGGGAAGTTAAAAAGTTAACCGATGATATTTAAATCTTTGATAAATCATTGCAAACGATAGCAACGATGCACATATCGAAAGCTATGATTTGAGAAGCACTTCATTTTACTTTATTTCACTGAATCTAGATTAAATATACACATTAATAATTAATGAACGTCCCCACTTTACATATACAGTGGGGACGTTCATTTTCCCTACTAATTTTTAAAAATTTGAAGACCCTCAAAATTTTTTCCTCAAGCACCCCAATGGGCATTCTTATGTCTTCCCAGATAGCCAGAGATAAGGTCCAGCGTGTTATTTGGTCTGGACTCGTACACAGATATCTAAAATTTAGGGCCTCTATATAAATTAATAATAATTTATTGGATAAAGTAAATTAACATTAATTTATACATGTACGAATCAGTTTGGGCCTCAAAGTTTTCCCGAAAAAAAATCCTCAGCTCTCTCCTCTCGAAGGCCCTTCTATCAATGAAAGATATTAAAATACCAGAAATTAACATTAGAATGTGTTATTTTATAATCAAAATTAACAATTTGGATTAAATAAGACTCGGATTGTGTTATAAATTAATCAATTTATCTTGGTTTTTTGAAAATTAATTCGAAGTTAATTTTTTCAAAACATTAAATTTTATTTCTTACTTATTCGGGTAGGACATTACATTTGTGATTGATCCGTGCATTATTTCAACAACAAAACCTTTTCTATAGACATTGTTTTTGTGCTGCAATGACTCAGGCTAAGCTTCGAGATTCTATATGCTAAAAAATTAGTCTTTAAACATTGTAACATTGAGAATTTTTTATATAATTAATAAATTACGTCTGTAGGCTTCAATATCTTTATGAAATATATATTCTATAGGCTTTATTGTCTATAGAAAAGTATATTTATACAATATATTTTAATGTCTATAGGCTCTGAAAATGCCCTTAAATGGCTCAATAGAAATTAATTGTTGCTTCACCTCGAATACTGGTTTGAAATCTTCCTACGTTCAGAATGCGATCTATATAACTTTAAATAGAAAAATATGACATATTTATAGTAATATTCGTTTCTTTACAATTTTCTTTGAAACGTAGACTTGTATGTTATTTAAATGCTACATACAGACATACAGTAGAACCATTTCTACTATAAAGTTAAGCTACTTATTAATTAATGTCCTAACTACTACATAAACATCACCTATAACTTAAAAATAATCGTATTTAGAAGTTAATTAGTGATAAAAATAATCATTTTGTATGATCTAATACATTATTAAAGCTGTAAATTTATACTTTTCAGTATAAATTTTTACTTGCTTTTGTTAGAAATCTTGAAAAATAGGTTATAACTGGAATAAATTCAAGTAAATTAAGACATTAAGTAGCTTATCTAGAAGTAAATTATTCAAATACCTATAATTTTAGTTCAGTTCCTGGCTTTAAAAATTCACATAAAAATAATAAACATGTTTGTTAAAAATGTATAAACGGCAACTACAAAGAAAATAAATATAATTTATAATTTTCGTCGCTTTTGTATGAAAATATTATCTTTTCTAAGATTCCATCAGCCGCAACTTATTCATTTAACTTTACCTTAACTGTCAATAGAGTTGTTACAACAATATTATCTCATCTTAGATCTTTCTTAATATATTAAACAACTCGCAAAACTTTCACGAAAATCAAATAAAATTTCAGGTCGACGAACTTCGAGTTTTTGTTTAAAAAATAAAATTTTTTTCTATTATTTTATTTTTTTTAATTTTAATTCAGGAAAAATTCTTAAAAAAATGGACTTTCTCTTTCCTGGAAAAATCTTTTATTTATTTATTTTTATTTTTTGATGATATTCTAACATCTTTCCTTCTTTAATTCTTAATATAACTCTTATTTTTAATTTTTATACAATGGAGTAACTGACTTATTATTACAATAAGTAAAATCTAAACAAACAAACAAGGTGGTCCAAAAGTCAGTTAACCGTTGCTTATCTTATTCAAATAATTAATCATTTTTTTTTATCATTTCCACCAAGAAAAATAAGTTCTAAATTTAGTTTATGATTCATATTTATAAATAAGCCTTGAAAAAACACAGTTAACTGACTTTTGGACTATTCTATATAACATATACTGTTTAGATATTTACATTAAGGAAGAAAATAATACTGTATATAGTAATATTTTGCTGATAATTTCTTAATACGTATATATTTTACATATAACATATAAAACAGTTTGACAATGATAATAATTGAGATAATTTCTGGGTGAGGTAGAAAAACTGTCAATTTATAAGCGTGGGATGATGTGCTCCACCCTGATATTTGCTTTTGATAAATTCTTAATCTTTTAAAAAACGATAAATTATTGTTTTATGAATATATCAATGAATCATGATTACAGAATTAGATAAATCTGTTATTATGTGCAATTCATTTTGAAAGTAACAGTTATAATATGCTCAATAATCATGACCATGCTTTAAATATGTAATTCAATTTTTTTAATTTTAATATTTTGTGCATTTTTATTACAAATATTAGAATTTAAATTTTATATACCAGTTAGTTAATAATTTGATGTACTCAAATATTAGCGAGAGTTTCAAAGTATTTTTGAAACTAAACAATTAAAAATGTGTATAAAATTTATAGTTACTGCATTTGTGATGGAATTTATGTTATTACATCTAATGAATAATTTCTAACATAAACCTAATTGTCAGGGAATTAGCATTGTTTATGTGGAGGGCCCTGTAGCAATTAATGCCCATGAAAAATCTAAAATTTATTTTAAAATATTTTATTTCTTGAATTATTTCTTACTTCTTTTCTTTCACTCTTATTATTATTATTTTTTGTGGAGGACTCTAGCAAATGTTTAGGATGCTTATCCATAAATCTGACCTTTCTGAATAGTATCAAATAGGAGTTTTAATACCAAGTCATTGTTGTGTCTTGAAAGTCATGAAAGATTCATTTAGATGATTAAATGAAGGGATTTCATGTCCATCTTCCCAAAGTTGCAGCAAACAGATATATTAAAATCAAATTACTATAGTTGTAATACCATAAAAGACACAACAGATGTCAGTTCTTCACAAGGAAATGGCAAATCAATTTATCTTATATTTTAAATACTTAATCTGATTAGCTCTAGTATATGCAATTAGCTTTTGTAAAAATCCTTCTAAAAAAATTATCAATTTTTCCTTATTTTAGATTGAGAATTTCTAGAAAATTAAATAACAGTTCAATTTCACATGTAAGGTGTATTTTTAAAAACTTTTTTATGTTCATTAGTTTAGCATTTTTTCATATTTTTTCTTGGCAAAAATAGTGGTTGTTAAGCTGAGTGGAAAGCTAACAAGCATAAACAAGAGATAAATTTTCTATTTTCTATTTTATTTTATTTTTGTGTACATTTAGAGAATTCTGAAAAAGATTTCTTCTCTAATATACTAAATATTTTAAAAATATAAGACTTCTAAAAGAAGGATGCATATTATTTTTAAGAATTACTCAATGATTTGAAACTAAATATTGTAAATTATATAATGTATTTTATTTATTGGAATTTGAATAATAAATCAAAAATAACACAAACCTCATCATCAAAAGAAAAGAATGAAAACTAATAGGAAAAACTTATCATGCAATTGTTCAGCATTGTCCTATAGAACAAAAAATATATACAAATAAATTATCCTTATTTTAAACTCAATTATTTCAATATCTTTTAAGGAAATTTATTACGAAACTTTCTTAAAAAACATTGGAATAATTGAGTGATTTACTTTTAAAATATTGTTTAAAAAATTCAACAATTTTTAGAAACAAAAATTTAAATCATGAAAAATTTTGAAATTTAATATATATGAAAAAGGCAAGAAAATATTTTTAGAATTTTAAAGTTCTAGAATTAAAATTAATAAATTCCTGAACTTATATAAACAAGTAACTAGTAGGAAGCTTAAAATAATTCTGTGACGGAGACATAGTTAGTTTATTGATCCTGTTGTCTGTTGGCTTAATATATGGAAAGAAAATAAGCAAGAGACTTGGTTTATGTCTAACTTAAATTCCAAGATGTTGTAACATCATATATTTGTTTATTATTTTCTAGAAATTCCTGAAATTTTTAACTTTTAGCATCAAAAGTATGTAACGTTTGTTCTCATTAAAGTCATATTTTGAACATGGGAAAAAAAAAAAAAAAAAGAAACAGGTCATAAGACAATTTTTAAATTTTATTTTATTTTTGGCAAAAATTATTTATAATAGTAAAAACAATTTTTAATTAAATTTTGATCTTTTATAAATTATTAATCTAAAATTTATAAAATAGTAACAATCTATTTAAATAATTTTTTTTTAATCTTATTACAGTATCAAAATATAATAATTTTATAGAATATTACAGATTTTAATATTGTTATTTTTATATTTTTTATCACTAAAATATATATTACATTTATAATATTTATATAAATATTATATATTATAAAAATGCAGTTTTTGAAACTGTATTTTTAACATAGTGTATGAATATTTAAAATTATCAGAATAATTAAACAATATTGTAAATATGTTATCAGATATTTTAGACAATTCTCATTTATGCTTACCTATATTTTAAATAATAAAGTATACAATAGACCCTGCATTTACAACCTAATTGGTTCCACAAGCCTAATGTTAAGTCAGCTGTTACAAATTGCACAGTAATTTTCCATAGGTTCAATGTCATAAATTTAGTTCCATTCCTACGAATAAACTTTGAATTATTTTTTCCTTATCATCTTGTCATGTATGCACTAAAAGGACTTCTTTTAGTGCATACAGAACAGGCCCACAATGGAATAACTAATTACTGAGGGACAAGGCCCTTGTTTTCAGGTCAAACCTCTGAAAACTCAGCTCAACCATTCATTTTCATGAGTGGTTAACCATAAAAATTTCTGAGGATACAACCAAAACTTGAATCTAGATCCTTCAGAGAAGTAAGCTGATACTTTTATCACTTCAATCATCCATCCTCTTTGAACTACCATATTTACTTAAATATAAGACACAGTGAATCTACACCACCTTAATTTCTACCTACTCACCCATTGATTTTTTGAGAAAATAGATGAGAAAAATTTATGTCAACAGAATCACTTCTGTTGACATAAATTTGTTCAATATATATTGCACAATAAAGTTAGTATCACTGTCTCCCATGGTATAAAAGTAAAAAGTATAAACCTCTTCACTTTCCATTTTCAGCTCTTCTGAATCAACACTGAATTTGATGCTCACATCCTCTGTGCCACTTAAAGCATCAGAAATGTAACATTTCTTGAAAGAGTGCTGCTGCACAACTTTTTCTGGATTTTCATCCAGTTCTTATGACATTACTGTAACAGACTTATGAGACTGAGCAATGTTGACCATTTAAATATTTGTCATTATGAATATTCATCTAATAAAATCATCAAAATGATGTAACAGAATTAGTGACTTCTAGCTGCAGAGAAATAAGATATCAAAAACTAGAAGTTGCTAATTAAGAAGTACTACATGAAATCAAAGATGCATCCTACCTTTAGAGATACTAAAACCAAAAAATAAGTATGTCTTACATTCAAGTAAAAATGGTACGTACTGTACAGTACTTAAAACTATATTTCATACAATTTTAATAGAATATTTATGTAGGTCATAGAAATAAAGGGTTGTAAACTGAGGTCTACTATACAACTAAAGTAAATTTGTATCATAAATTTGACATGATATAAAAGCCCGAAAAAAGTTTCATATTATAATGATGCTTTTCATAATTTGCCAATTTTAATGTTGTTGATATTATATAAATGAGAACAATTTGAATAATCAATTAAATGAATCATAATAATGATCAATATAAATTCATTCATGAAGATATAGTAAAATAATTTTTACAATTCTACATTATTTATGAAGATAACTTTACCAATTAAATAATGATTCTATACTAATAAAACATTAGAACAAATAATAAATTTGTTATGCATTCTCTTTGAAATGCATAAAGCTAGCTGGATTTTTTTGTTCTAAATAATAATTTTTAGAAATTATTGGAAAAGAAATCCACTTTATTAGTTACGAATATAATCACTTCCATCTATGACAACTTCTCAAATATTTTTGGACCGATTAAGTCCATCTTAAGGGGAAATATCACAATAAAACCACTTCTTACAACAAATTCAAAATTGGTGCATTCAAAATTTGTTTTGAAATTTTTTTTAAATGGATATGTACAGAAAGTCAAACAAGTTAAATGAGAATGATATCATTATTCATATTTTCGCTGGACATTTTGATTGATTCATTTACAAGAAAATGGCTGTTTCTAAAATCAAAGTTGTGAATGTTACTAGTACAGATTTCACGCTTTAATCCATAATTTATATACTTGAATTTAGAAACATCAATATCATTGGATACCATCTTCATGATATGAACTAACTCTTTCCTTCATGAATTTTGTTAGTTTTTCTCTGAAACATTATCAACATCAAGCATGTACTGTACACTGAGCAGAATTAGTAATTTATGATCAACTTATTAGTAATTCATTTAGTGCATTCAACTTCTTGAATATATCCAAAATATACCCCCAAAGGATGAACTTACCAGTCCAAAAAAAGAAGTCATGAATGGAAGTTATTATACTTGTGATGTCAATAAATTAGATTTTTTTTAGATTTGTGAAAAGTTGGAATGTTTCTTGAATTTTAGTAATTTTTTACATAATGACATTATATAAATATTTATCAAATTGCTACAACAGCAAAGACAAAATAGACAATTTTGATTTTTTATATAGTCTCAGCTGAAACTTTTTTGATTAGATAACATTTAATTATAACAAAATAAAATTGTGTATAGAAAGAAACTGACATTGCATACATCTGAAATCATTAGAATGGAAAAAAAAAATTTTTTTTTGCTTCAGTGTTTAATATGCATTCAACATTAAACTATAAATACATTGTATCACATTACAAAAGCAATGAACAATGATTATTATTATTTTGTACTCATTTATAGCATAGCAAATGCAAAGCAGAAGAGGCACTGTTTCTGATAAAAGATGGGCACAAATATATGCTATGTTACTATGAATATGCTATAAAGCTTACACAGCACAAAGGAAATTTAATTATTATTATTATAATAATTACCACATATATATAAGCATTACATGTGTACGACTTACTTCCAACTCCAAAACAAAACAATGCTTATTTCAATATAACTTCATTCACTAACATTTTCGAATTTATAGTTCTTCTTCAGGTGAACCAACAGACAAGTTGCAAATATTCAAACAGATCTTTTTCAAACGAATTCTGAAATGGAATATTCTAAGGAAACCCGTGCAATCATTGTCTTATTTTGCACATGCTCTGTTGATAGAGACGTAGATTGTGAAAATGTCCTACTCTTTTTAGAATGCTAAGTAATGGAAAAGATGCTCCGCAACACGACAAATTAGCAGGAGTATAGATGATCCCTATAAAAGATCATAGGTGGGATAAAGATTTAATATACATGGGATCCACAAAAAGATCGTTGGAAGTGAGGCTCAAGGAGCATAAAGTCGACATCTTACATAAAAAACATACAACAACATTAGCACCATACACCACTGACCCTGACATACAAGCATTATTAGATGAGGCAAAGTTAATATACATGACACAGCAACCCATTTGCACTTGCTGGAAGCAATATATATATATATATATATATATATAAAAAAGCAAGAGAAGATAAATGTATCAACAATAAGGATGAACTATCCTTATCGATAGCCTGGCAAACTCTTATTTATGATACATGAGAAGTCAAAAACTATATCTCTAGCAACAGAGCATGTGCAAAATGAGATGATGATTGCATTGAATATCATTGTTCTAAGGAAACCAAAAATTTTAACAGTGTGACCCCAAGGTAGTTTTCCACGGCCCCAAATGGAGTTGCGATCCATAGATTGGATACCACTGCCTTAGAGTATTCCATTTCAGAATTTGTTTGAAAAAAAGATCTGTTTGAATACTATCGTTTTGTCCGTTGGTACACCTGAAAAAGAACTATAAAGTTCAAAAACGTTAGTGAACGAGGTAATATTGAAATAAGCACTGTTTTGGTTTGGAGTTGGAAGTAAGTCGTATATTTTACAGTGTGTCTGGATGTTTTTTTGTATACATTATATTTGTCAAGAACTAATTAAACATAAAATTAAAAAATTGATAATAGAAAATAATAATAAATTAATCAAAATGTAACAACATCAGGTCATAATGTACACACATTAAATGTACAATAATATACAAATAATAAATTAAATATAATATTTTCTTTATATAAACTTAATGCAATGAGATTTATGTTCATATTGGATACATTACATACTGATATGTTGTATTTGTTTCAATTATTTGGTCATCTTCTATACAAGTAATATTATTAGATTCCAATAACAAATTTTTTTTACAAAATTTTCAGGATGAACTATAAATATGTAATATATTAAATACTAATATATATANCACTATATATATATATATATTTAACTATTATTTAACAAATAACACTAACAGATAATGATTGTTCTAGGATGATTTGTCAAAAATTTTTCTTTATCACATACTATTTTATATGCAATGATTATATTATTAAATATATTGTATATAAAAATCACAGTTTTTTCTTCTTTTTTTTGACTAGCTTAAATTTCTTGTACAATATATATAATGTATCAAACTGGAAAAATACTGTAAATATTCCTGCTCAAATTTAATTACCAAATGCAAAAATCAAGTGTTTTGCATAACTGACTGATGAGATGTTGCAAATTCTTGAGCATATATTGATTCTTCTTCTTGTGATGGTAACTGAATTGGAATCATTTGTTGAGGAGACATTAACTGTGTTAAAAAAGTATATAAACAAATATTAAAATTATTTTGAAAACTAAGTTTTTTTCCACATTTAATTAAAGCAATTTTTATATTATTATAATTTAAATAGCTTATATAATTTAATACAAAATTTTCAGAACTATAAACTAATTCCATAAATTAACAAATTTTAGCTTTCTTATTTGAAATCATAAAAAGCCTATTTACCTTACATTACTAAGCATGTTCTACATTCTTGGAATTTTTTAAGTCAACACCACTATGTTCTGTTTAAATGTTCTGCACTTTGAAATTTCAAAAATGCAGAACCATATGCCAGCATTCACACTTGAACTGGCATTGAGTAACACATAAGCCACAATAATCAAAACAAAGTAGCCACATGGTAAATCAGCTGTACTACAGCCTGCAAAATACCAGTCTTCTGGTAATTCTAGAAATTGAATATTTGAGCTGGTACTATATTAAGATTGAATTATAAATATAAAATAAGAATCAGTTCAATTTTATGACAAGTAAAGATTGACCTAAAAATATCAACAATATGTAGCTGAAAAAAATCAACTGACAAATCAGATTATTCACAGATATATGGCTTTTGAGTCATTCAAAAGAACTATGAATCCATAACAAATTTTGATTTCAGACTCTCCACAAGTCTATACTCATGGTGCCAAATTTAAATTAGACATGAAACTTTTAAGTTAGTGGACTTCTTTAAACAATTGTTTCACCTGTCTTAGTCATCTTCAGGTTCTAGTATAAATTTATACTAGAATAGTCAGGCAAATTTATTTATCCAACTTCCTTAGCTTATGAAGTTCTAAGTCATATATTACACATATATGCTATATTCCAGAATATATAGCATTAAAAATAAACAAACACACTATTTGAAATGTAATATCTATATTTTAGAAGTTGGTTTCCACCTTAAGATAGTCAAAAAGTATTTTTTTTAATCTGCTGGCTCAGATACATAATATGACAAGCTAAAATAATATTTACCAAATGCTTGGATTGAGTGAATTTTTTTCAAATATTTTATGATAAAGTCTTTGAAAACATGATAAACAACAGTGGAATATGATATGGAACTATGTGGAATAATGACAAATATTCAAAAGCAGAAGCCAATGGATAATCAAGACACAAAGCCAATACTTGTTAGAAGAGAAAATATTAGAAAAAATGTACAGTGGAACCTCGGTATACGACCGTAATTCGTTCCTGGTGTTTGGACTTATACCGAATAGGACGTATACCAAACCAATCTTTCCCATAAGAAGTAACGTAAAAATGATTAATCCATTCTCATGTAAAAAAAATGGCTGGCTTTAAACACCTCTTTTTCCTGGCTAGTTCCTGCTTGATTTTTCATGAGATCAGCATATATCTTTTTAGCTTTCTCGCAAATAATTTCTTCTGATATGCTGTCGCCAGCACACTGTTTTTCAGTTATCCAAAGCAAAAGCAATTTCTCAACATGATCTAATGTCTTCAATCTATGTTTAGAAATTGATTTAACCCCTTTCGCAACGTTAGCAAATTTAATAATGTCTTTATTTTTCACGATTGTTGATATCGTCATTCTCGGAATACGGTATGCAACAGTTAAATCTCAAACAAACATGCCACCTTCATATTTGTCAACAATTTTTTTTTTCAGTTCCATTGTGATTCTAGTCATTTTTTATTTTTCTGTTGCCTTTTTGCAATTCATGATTAATAAAAATAATAAAATTTTACTTACAAATTAAAATCAGAAGAAATTTAACAAAGTTATAAACCATGGCACCGTGAACATCTAGTCTGGTATAATACACAGATAGTGATACTTGTTCATAGATGGCGTGTATAATTGAATTAAGTCGTATTGTTAAATTTCTCTCCTGTCATTACCTAGGTATGTAACAACACTTCGTGTCATATAACCATTGTATTATTTTTTGTAATAAATAAACGGCCATGACGTGATGTCTTTTATCAAGCCCGCCACTTTTTGGTTCGGTATGACTTGAAACGGATCAAAGTAGTCGTGTATGATTTTTTAAACTTACTTGTAAGGTATTCTATTCACTACCTTTGAACACATAACTTGCAACAGTGATATACTTAACACGTATTCTGAACAAAAGTCGTATACTGAGCAAAATTTGTTTCGTCCAAACAGGACGTATTCCGAATTGGACATATTCTAAAGCAGATGTATACCGAAGTACCACTGTATTTTCTTATGCAACCAGAATTTGTATTTCTATTAATAATTATAAATATATTATGAAAATTATGTTTCATATGCAATAAATAAATGAAAAGCTTCATGTTATAGAAAGTATTTACTGAGGAAACCTTATTTTTTTTATCAATAACAAAAGCAATAGTTATCAATAATTATTAAAATAAAGTTAATTAAATCAACTTATAAATGAAAATCACTTTCAGAAACTTGCTATCTTGTATTTAATAAGGAGTCATTTAATTAAACAACAAGCTTTGCAGGATCTTTTCTGACATCAGTTGAAAATTGATAATGCTTTTGATTGCAATCTGGACCTTCATCAGGTCAATTACAAATTCCAACATGGAATGTGTAGAATGTTATTTAAAGCATTTCTGGTGTTCTGTGTAAGTTGTTGTTTACAAATAATAACTAGTTACATTGTGTGGTAGAATGATCATTTAATTATCATTATCATCAATAATACTAAACTAACTTTTGCATAAATATTGTTTACTAAAAATTCATTAAACTTACCATCTCTTGATTTGTAACAGCATCAGATAATGATTTGGCAGACTGTGATGGTAAATTTTCACAGCCAGATTCTCTGCAGTGAATTAATGGATTCATTACTTGTTGTATTTGAACACATGGATTGGGTGGTGTTGATACCATATTTATGGAAGAAGTAGGATATTGATATGATGGTGATGACACTAGATTTGGAGTTACAAATTGTACCAACATTAATTGTTCTGAGACACGACGTAATTCTTCTTGCTGCATCAAAATTTGCTGTTGTAGCAGTTGATGACGTCTTCTTAAGTAATCTTGAAGCTGAGATTGATCAGATGCCATTGAAAATGTTGACTGATATCTTTCAACATGACTGTTAGAAGGCTACAAAAAAATATAAAAAAATGTATCTACAATTTAAAGAATTATAAACTGTTATAATTTTTTATAATACATACTTGTATAGCTGGTGTTGTATTATTTGTACATAAAGGTGGTCCTATCAACCCAATAACTGGTTGCAAAGTAGAAATTGTCATAGTTGAAGATTGACTTGTGGTTGGAGCTATTGTTGTTTGTGACATATTTGCTACATTAGAATCATTAATCATCACAGATCTACAATTTGGAACAGTTTTTGTATTAGATGGACTGAAGTAATCTGTTTGATTTTTGCTTCTTGGAGGAAGATGTTGAATGTTAGTTCTCATTTCATAAGACATAGGATCATATGATTGAACACCTGATGTTGTTACTGAAATGTATTGATTGCCTATGTTAAATTTGTCTTAACATATCAAAATCATTAAAAATCTAATAAAATAATTTTAAGATAATTTTTTATACATAATTCATTAAAAATATTTACCTGAAGACATTTCTGACTGATTTGATGATATACTATCCCTAGAACTAGCTGAAAGAGCAAGCGACTGATTACTGCTTGAACAAGAAACTGGTGTTGCTGCAGCAGATCCCTGTAATTGCTCTAATTTGACTAGGTTATCAGATTTGTGGAGAGGGTTTTCTTTGTATATAGTCGTCTGCACTTGTTTATAACTGGGAAGAGCATTAACGCATTTTACCTTAGGTGTCGCAAACTGTATGAAGACATAGCAAGTACTGTACTATGAAAATTTATTTATTTATTTTTACAAATTAAGAAAGACAAAGTGTTTTCTTTTCTATATTTGTCAGGTATTGATGCTTATAAATTAAATACATTCTCTAAAAACTTTAAAACACTTACCCGACTACAGTATGTGTACAAACAATGAATTCAGGTTTAGAATTCCATTGATGATAAGTAATGTAGTAACGAGTTTGAAGCCAAATCCACTGTTGACCTTTTGTCAAAAACCGATAGCAACAAGAAGTGCCTTCACCAGTCTGCATCACTTAAACAAAATTTTATTGTATTTAAAATGAATGAATCAATTCTCTGTCAAATTATCTAAAATTTAGATAATTTGAATGAGAGTAACTAATAAGCATAACAATTTTCTTAGACACACATATTTCTTACTTTTAATGAACAATTTATCTAATAATTATATAAATTAAGTTTTTCTATGAACATTATTTGAAATGAATTTAATAAAATTTATTTCTGTTTAAGTAACACTTCCAAATTTTTATAAATTCACAACAAAGAGTAATTTATTGGAGTCACAGAAATAATTTCTATCCACAATAACTTCCAGTATTTTCAGACTGATTAAGTCTATTTTCAAAGAACTTAACAAAATGAACACGTCTTAAAATACAAATTGGAAGCTTTTGGATGTATTTTGTAAAGTGTTTTTGATTGATGACCACACAAAAATTAATCAATAAAAAAGAAAAGGTAAAAATTTGTCTTTATATGTCTCATCTTTTAATTATAAAAATTGTAATACACAAACTATAAATATAATTAATTTATCAAAAATACTGTATTTATCTTAGTCTTCAGACAACCAACTAAACAAATTAAAAATTCAAAACTGGTTATTTTAAACAATCTTTGAGCATATATATATATGCATGCTCAAAGATTGTTTAAAATAACCAGTTTTGAATTTTTAATTTGTTTAGTTGGTTGTCTGAAGACTAAGATAAATACAGTATTTTTGATAAATTAATTATATTTATAGTTTGTGTATTACAATTTTTATAATTAAAAGATGAGACATATAAAGACAAATTTTTACCTTTTCTTTTTTATTGATTAATTTTTGTGTGGTCATCAATCNTATGATTATAACACTTACATGTTGTGGCGTTACAGGAGTGAAGTTTCGAGAATGAACTCGTCACTAGTGGAAGATGAGTTATCTATCATTTATAGTGCTATGTTAAATGCTGGCTACTCACACTCTAAATTTACATTTCTTCAAAACTGTGTTAAGATTAAATTATTTCTGCAATCCTTTCTTTCTAATAAAGAAAACCTAAGAATAGCACATCCCCCAATACCCTATTTAGGTCCCATTTCTCTAAAAATTGCACATATGTTTAGAACTAACGGTTTTGTTCTACCAATAACACCGCCACCAAATCTAAGAAGACTACTATGTAACGATAGGGATAAGTGCCAGTGGAATGAAAAATCTGGAATCTACCAAGTCCTGCTAAAACATACACCGTCAGGTGAAGAAACCAGTTATGCAGGGGCCACATCCAGAAGGTTAAGTTCATGTATCCTTAAACATCAAGAAGACATCAAAAATGGCAGGCCAGTTACAGAGTTAGCAAAGAAAGTGCTTGACCACAATTACCAGCCTCTCTGGAGTAAAACAAAATTACTGAAATGCTGCAACAAACATAAAGAACTATTTATTTGAGAGAGTCTCTATATTTCTGCCAATGAACCATGTAACTCCCCAACTCTTGAATTACCAAAAATTTGGGTAACAGCTTTTAAACAACTTAATCCACGATGTTGAAGTCTGCTACTCAGATGTCTTTTTGACATAGCATATACTTCAAGCATGTTCTGGGCTCTTTTATGGCCTTATTTTTCCTAAGACATGTTTATTTAAAATTAATTTTCCTTTCATGTGCTATGATGCACAAAAGGAGTTTTAAATAACATTCGAAAACGGAAAATCTGTTAAACTGTTGGAAATATTGTTCGATAATTTCGGAAATCTGAAATTTGTGAAACTGTTGGATTAGTGTTCGAAAATCTTAAACTGTTGTATTCGATAGACTGCATGAAGATGGTAGTTGTATACTACTGAAAGTGCTAGCAGATGAGTTCATTTTCTAAAGTCGGACGAGTTCATTCTCCAAGACTCCACTGCTGTAACGCCACAACACATAAGTGTTATAATCATATAATAAACGTTGGTGTGAAGTGACATTGTATTATATCAAGCATATATATTTTAAACTTTAACATTCTTAATGTTTTAATCATCATAATTACTTAAAACAATAAAATTCCTCAATAAAAATGAAGACGAAATCTGCCCAAAAGGGATCCATTTTATTTTTCTATGTTCCAAGACAATACACTTTTTCGACAACTGACCTGTCTTTGTAGGCTACTTGTCGCTGGTAGTATAAAGCAATCCTTTTAAAACACAAAATACTTCCAATTTTATTGAAAAATAATTCTCTATCAGACAAAAATTTACTGATGAAAATTCTACAAATGTCATCACCAGGGGCAGCTTTTTTCAAATATACGTTTTCCAGCGCCAGTTTCCAATAGATATAAGCAGTTACACCCCCAGAGAAGGTATGGATGGATGTAAGCAAGACATCTGTTATCATCAGTTCCTTTTTTAGAAATTATTTTATAATTTTAATTGGAAGTATTTTGTGTTTTAAAAGGACTATTTTATACTAATGGCGACAAGTAGTCTACAAAGAAAGGTCAGTCACTGAAAAAGTGTATTGTCTTGGAATATACAAAAATAAAATAGTGATCTCTTTTGGGCAGATTTCGTCTTCATTTTTATTGAAAAATAATTCTCCATCGGATGAAAATTTACTAATAAAATTCCTGTTGTATTTTTAAATATATATGCTATGTAAGATTGTCTGAAATTTGAATTAACCACTTTGTTTGGTTACCTGAGACAATAAGATTGATTTTGTCATAAGTAATAGCCAATATTAATTATATTTATAATTTGTGTGTTACAATTTTTATAATTAAAAGGATTTAATAATAAAGACAGAAGTTCTCTCTTCCTTTTATTGAAATGCTTTTGATTAAATTCCTCAAAAGATAAACTTAATAAATCCAAAAAATACTTGTGAGATTATTGAGAATAAAAACTAATATTTTTCTGTTGCCAATGAATTAATAATAATTTATTGACAGAAAAGATCAAATCTATGATATTTATTGTTTTTATGTTCATTTAATTATTTAATAGAGAACTTACATGCTTCATGACATGCTGCAACTTTTTCTAAATCATCTATATGATAATAATCATATCCAGAAGTTCCTAATACTTCAAATGGTAAGTATCCTATTATTGGTGGTGCTCTATTCAAAAAATATTTTAAAAGTTCTTTTAAAAGTGACATATATTAATAATTTCTTATATTATGAACTTCAAAATCCTCCTTTTACAAAAGCAATCTTTATTGTTAATATATAAATAGTTTAAATGAATATGTGTAACTTGATACACTTTATTTTATTTTAAATATAAATAAAGATACATTCCAAAATGATACTGCAAAAAATATATGCAAAAAATTCTTGATATACTAAAGAAGTAAATTGTCTTCATGCATTACAAATTACAAAAGAAAAACTTTTGAATTCAATCATTTATTTACAGGCTTCTCAAGTTTGGTTATTCTGTTTTTATGTAATTAAATATCAATTAATTTAGATATTTAATTATATAAGTGGCCAGTATGGCTGTATCTTTTCTTTTTTACATTTATTAATATTTCTTTTATGATCATTATCAGTGCTTATTTAATTCTTCAAAACTTTTATTTAAAAAGATTTTTAAAAATGCAATACCCAAATAAATGCAACATTCAATATGAGCAAACTTAATGTCACAAGATAAATTTATGTAGATAATTTTTTCAGAGACAAAATAGTTTATAAAAGTGTACTGGTAACTTCATTAAGCTAACAATGGGTAAGGATGGAGATCCATTAAGGTTGGAGACCAACTAAGTTGAAAACAATATGATTTCTCACACCTTACTCACTGTTAAAAGGTGTTAAAAAATTACTTAATTTTAATTAGTTAATTAAATTTAAAAGAACAATAAATTTATGTCAAGTAATTCAAAACAAATGCAAGCAGACATCAAATAGATATATCTATACATATTCGAAAAGAACAAAATCTTGAGCAGGTTTTCTAAAACATCCAAAAACATTTAGAATTGGCAAAGCTCAGCCTGACTTGTCAAATGCACTGTCTTACAAAATACTCCTAGTGATAATTATATTTAATTATATGCATAATTCATTTGTTTAATTTTTCACACTACAACTAAAAGTATTTTTATTGGCTGAGATGTGTTGTATTTAAAATTTAGACAGAATGTCTGTCTAAATATTAAATAACATTTTTATATTAATTTTTTATATTCTAGTAACCTAATAAAGAAAATAAATAAAATTTTTATTTTATCTATGTATAAAATAAATTTGAAAAATTACCTATGATCAAGAAAAAGAAATTTCCACTCTAGACTATGCCTAGATGTAAATTCATTCTTAGACTCATCTAGTAATGACATTTCTCTTAGAAGCTTTGGAGTTTGCAATCTTGCCATAGCTACAAAGCAAAGCTGCCACTCAGCATTACTAGAAACATGAGAACAACTGCTGCTATTATCATATTCAAAATTGTGAATGTTTGGTCCTGAAAAGATGTTAATTTGAATCACTTTTATAAATATATAAAACTAATATAAATTTTAAAAGAAATTTATTTTTTACCATCTGCAGATACATTTTTCCAGTGATGAAAGTTACCCACAAGACGAACAAGTTCATAAGTAGGAGAATTTTGGGAATGCATTGGTCCATGTTTAATATAAACCATTAATGATAACAGAGAATCTGATGATAAAATATAAAATTTAAGAAAAAATATATTAAATCAGAAAGTTTAATTATAAATCTATTCTTTACCTTTAGATTGAATATGATTAGAATCAGTAAAATTTGAAGTGTTAAGCAGTTTGTGAAGTGACTGTTTATCACTTTCATGAATAATGTCAAATATAGACACATTAAGATTTCCCTATAAATAAAACCATATAATTAAAATAATAAAATATATCAAAATATACTATTTCAATTTTGCTCAGAAAGTTTTTACAAAATAATTACATCATTAGAATCTTTCATATTTATAAAAAGATCAGAGAACTAGCTCTTAAGACACATTATAGGCCTATACATAATCTATTATGTATTCTATAATTATCTGTTTTTCATAAGTGAAAGAAAAATTTCAGTATTCATTATTGCTTGTTGTAGATGGCAGTAGATGGCATTTGCTCCATAACCTCTAGCAGACAAACAATAAATTTATTACCATGCAATTTTTTGAACAGATATGTCAATAACCAATTTTTACAGTGAGATAGATATGGAAATTTTTAGTGCTGCACTTTCAACAAGGGGAAAAATCATCAGTCACAACTTATTTTAATTAACCCTCACATTTCTGATTGTATTTATTAAATAATGGGATAAATAGACTATCTCCTTAGAATGATTTTTAAGTTTCCATTTGAACTAATATTACAGTAAATGTAAAAAGTATATAAATATCAACCAATAGTTTTGTTTTGTATGGATGGTCTGAAATAAATTAATGTGTGACAGCATCAAAAATAAATCAAATTTTTTATTACATTTATAATGGCACTATTTACAGATGATCACCTTCAAAATAAGCTCCATTTCTGCCAGTGTCCAATCCAGCACCACTTATCAAAGCAATCCTGAAAGCTATTTTTCATAGTATCTTTAAAAACTCTCACTGCAATTTTTATATTCAGCATCCATCAGTCATTCCTGGTTAATGAATAACAAAAATGGCATAACAATACTTTCTCAATCTCTCTACTCCATTGATCTTGTCCTGCAGACTTTAATCTGTTCCTAAAATAAAAGAAGTTAAAGGATTGCAGGTGCAAATCAGAAATGGAGATGGATGTCAGAGTGACAAGAGTACATAATGACATCATAAAAAAGTAGCTTCCAGGACTACTTTGACAAGTGGTATAAGAGTGTGTGTGGTATAAGAGTGTGTGTGTTGTGCAATAAAATCTGTGCTAAAAGATTGTTTTATTTTTGACTTTATTATAATCGCTTCAAAACTACTGGTGTAATGAGGATAAATAATTAGTTATATGTGAATACCAATAAACCAATAAAAATAAATATAAAACAAAAACGAATGATTTTCTTCAAATTAAACAGTCTTCCTCAGGTTTGAAGAATGCAGATATATAAATGAATACATTTTTAAAAATAGAATATAAATTTAAAAGCTGAAAAATTTGCAAAATATGTGCATGAGTATTGCAGCATGTAACATCATGCTTTAATATCAATAATATATTAAATAACAATCTATACTAATATTATAAAGAGGTAATGTTTATAAGTTTGTATATAGGAGTAATCTCCGAAACTACTCATCCGATTTCAAAAATTCTTTCACCAATATTTAGAATGGAACTACAGGGTGGACATAGGCTGTATATTATTCCGTTAAACATTCATATAAATTAAAAGATATCATCTAGGGTTAAGGCTTTTATGTCCAACATATGGCGCTACAAGTACGACGACCTAAGTTTGATTTTCTATGAGACATTATGCTTTTCTGTGAGGATGAACTAAAACAGATCATCTTCTATCTATCTATATAAATAAAAATGTAATGTTCGTTTGTTCCTACCGATTTCTTTGAAATTTTGACACAACGCTGCATTCGAATACGCATGTGTTTCTATATAATATAGGTGTCAAAATTTCCCCCATTGGGAAGAGATGGACAGGATTAAGGCTTACTGTAAAGAACTCTGCTTCTATTTATACTATTTTAGATGCAGTTTTTGCATTTTTGATTGCATTTTGATCAACAGAATATACACTAAAAGGGGATTTTTCAATATTCCCCTTGCGGGGGAGAGGGACAAGATTAAGGCGTACCGTGAAGAACTTGGTTTCTATTATACTATTTTAGATGCGATTTTTTGCAATTTTGATTGCGTTTTAATAGAGTACGTCAAGAGAATGTACACTAAGAAGGAATTTTTCAAAAAATTCCCCCCCAGGGTGAAGTGTTATACATTTATAATAGATACATTTTGAGCCACAACAACATGTGGCAGGGTCTGCTAGTTTGAAAATAAAAGAATTTTACAAAATACAAAAATACATGTGTCTTAATCCAAGACTTACGGGAATCATAGAATATGCTCCATGCAGTCGAACAAGAGTTAACCTCCTTATAATTAATCGCAATACCCCTTTTGAAAGGCTTGAATATTTCTATTCATTCAAGATATTTAAGGTTGGCTGGGTCATCAAAGTGATGTAATATACAGGCATGATCAAATTTAACCTGAATGTCATCATCAACAAAAGTAGCTAGTGTGGTTGTGGAGAGTACTTTCTGAATAGTATATTGATGCTCCTTAATACTCATGTTTAGGCATTGAGCAGTGGTCCCAACATATTTGCACAAACAGTTCATCCTGTGATCTTGTGTAGGGATAGTATAGATCCCTGGCATACAGTTCCTCTCCAATGGGTCCTTATCATTTCTGATACTTGAAAAAAACAGGAGATTTCTGACACTTGAAAAAACACTTACAGGAGTACAGAGTATCCATGTTACCTGGCCATTGTGGTGGTACACCAATGTATTTTGTTATATTTATATATATGTTTTATATGTGTCTTTCTATTTTCCCTTCTTTCTTTGTTCTGTGTTCCTTTGTATACTTCCTGGAACTTTCTTCCAAGTGTGGTTGGTGGGTGACCTGGTTAGGGGACAAAGAAAAGAAATAGCCCAGAGGGAAAGTGGAAGATGAGAGGGACACTTTTGCTTTGGGCCTAGAAGAGGGAAGACGCGTCAGAGGTCTCCAGGTCATTATAGCATCGACTGGAAAAAGGTCATGAAAAGTTTGGAAGAAAGAAGTATCATGATTAAGGACATTTGTAGGCTAAAGAACCAAGAAACTTATTTGTAGAGTCACATACGATCCATCCCCAAAAGAAATTCCAGGATGACATCATCCAACCACTGCCACCTTGATCGCCGACTCGGGTAACAATTCATGCTTAAAACTATATTCCTGTCTCTCATGATCTATCCTTTTCTCTCTTTTTTTTCTTATTAGAGTAAGTAGGTTTAAGTTAGAAAATAAGTATTTTCTTTGTATCACGAAAAAATTTGTTCGACTGTGGATCTGAACAGGTGTTGTTTTTTTTTTTTTTTTGGAAAATAAGGAATCAGGAGTGTCAGAATCCACAAGAACCTTTCTTGTAGAAGTTTATACGAGAAAATTAAAAGCACGTTTTATTGTTTTAATACCTGCCTCTTTGTAAAAATCAAAACTCACCACATGCATATGACAACACCATACATGATGTAATCAAGTTCTATTTTCCTATCTCTTACTGTCGAACAATGGACTGCAGGGGAATAAAATGACCATTTAAAATGGAAGAAAACATTTGTTTTTGTTCTATATATTTATTTTTACTGGTTTATTGGTATTCACATGTAGCTGTAGTTATTTAACTTTCCTATGTACATTAATTACAAGTTAAAAATTAAATATTAACCTTCTTATTGTACATAAAATTTTTTCAATTAATTGAATAGTAAATTCATAAAATTAATTCATTTTGATAAAAAACACACACAAAGATCATTAATTTTGTTCTTAATTTTAATTAGATTAATGGTCTAAGTAATACTTACAGGAATGTATCCAAGAAGTGAAAAAATACTTTCTGATGTATACAATATTCTACCATTACATGAAAATACTATGATAAAACCATCTAGAGCCTAAATAAAAGAACAACATTTCAGCATTAATAATTATACTTATTTAATAATGATTAAAAAAGTCACCATTCCAATTCTTTTATTTTATGAAAGTATCAATAACATTATAATGATAGAGTGGCTAAAAAAGGTCAGTTAAAGAGTAAATTGCTGCCTTATTTTGTAAGTAAGTCTATCAATTCTGCAAAGAAAAACAAATGCTCTAAATTCTGTTCAAAAACAACATTTACAAGTGTCCCTGGAACATGCAAAATAAAATAAGGCTGAATAAATTGACTATTGGGCCACATTGTATTTTATCTAAGGACATCCCAATACTGGTATCAATACTTCCTCAGACTTTGGATCTGGTATCATTATATTTTTCACAGACAGGTAATATCCAATTTAAATTGGATTTTGCAGCAAAATCCAAAACAGGATTTGGGTTTTAAAATCAGTTTTGGCCAAAATCAAATCTTACGCTATTTTTGGTTAAGTTAAACTTATATAGTAAATATTAACAACCAAAAATCAATAAATGTATTATGTCAAATTTCATTTCCAGAATTTATGTCTGCTTAAAGTTCAGATTGCTGTTTATAAATGAATATTTAGTTAAACATTATGCAGTACTTTTGTTTGTTAATTGATTTGGATCACCAGTGTTGTTTAAAATGAGCTACAATTTGTATATACAGTAGAGCATCGATTATCCAACTCAACTGGGGACTCAGGTTGGTTGAATAACTGAAAAAAATTGGATAACCGAAAAGAAGGAAAAAATACATTATTAATATAGTATTATTAGTATAGTATATATANGTGGACCTCAATATTGCTAGATTGTTCCATTTCTAGCGTTAGGCTGTAGGGATTATCGTTAACAGTTTGTACGAAATTTGAGATGTCAGGTATTGTCTTCCACATGATGAGGATGTCGTCCACATACCTCCTATAGAGTAAGATGTTTGGGAGGAACGTCTTATGCGAGTTTCAGATTTTTTGTTTAAACATCTGCATTCTATTTTTAGATTCGATTTTTTATTTAAATATCTACGTTCCATTTTTCGAAGTGTTCCATCAAAATTTTTTTCTCTACCTGAGGAAGAGCTATCTCGACAGCTCGAAAACGTTTGTGAAAGGAAGATTTTTTTCAGTATAGTATATTAGGATATTAGTACATCCCATGTAATTAGTTTATTAGTATATTGCTATTAACCAACTTTGCATTGAATTTTCATTGATGTTTAGCCTAACAAATTTTTTTCTAAAATAATAATCATCGCTATTGTATCGTTAAAAATTATTTTAAAATTATTTTATTGCTCACAAAACAAACAACCACTCATAATTAGAAAATTAAGTCTCGTTTAAATATTCGCCTCCCTTTAATGGTCAAGCCATTGATGCCAGCTAAAACACGCAAAAACTTAACAAAAATAATATTAAAGTAGCCAAGACATAGCTAAATATTGTAATGCCACATCACTAGCGGACATTTGAAATTTGCCGATTAGAACGGTCGGTTAACCGATGTGACAGTTAATCGGGGGTCGGATAATCAATGCTCTACTGTACTTGTTTGCACTGACATTTGTAAAATCTGAACACAATAAAAAAACTTTCAATGTAAAGATATTGTTTTACCTCTTCACCAACAATTTCTTATCCGTCTCTATCCAGTGTATAGTAGTGCCCACAGAGCCCATTAGTAGGACTGTAGATTGAGGGCTTCTTTGTGTAGAAGACATCTTACGAGTGTAAACTAAATTAAGGTTCCTACTCAAATTTTTATTTTGAATTCCATGACTTTCCCTGACCAACTTTGTCCAAATTCCTTGACATCACATTTCTTACAGTATGGAATATCAACATAATAAAACAGCATTTTACTTACTGTGAACATTGAATACATCTATCCCTCTTTTTACGTAGTTGATATGTTCCAAAGACTGTGCCAAAAAGTATAGTATATACATCCTGTAGAAAAATGTTTGATAGAATCCACAACTTCAATGTAATGAAAAAATATGCAATTTACAAATGAAACATGAGCTTTTTTATTTTATCATCATTTATCATTATTATTTGTATATAAATCTAGTAAACACAAGGTAGCATAAAATCAACAAACAGTATTTTCTGATATACAAATAGTACTATACTGTGCTTTAAAAAAATGAACTCTTGACTTAGAAACATGTAATTTTAAAACCAATGTTTCAACAAAAAAGGCAACTGTTTTTTAAAAGCATAATTTTAACAAAAAGTTAAATTTAAAAATTTTCAAATAAAGCATTTCTTCCCCTGCAAAAAATTGATCAGGCTATCTACTTGATATTCAAAACTATAGCATACAGTAAGACCGCATAATGCGGGGGATGCATTCCTAGATGACAAAGCACTAAGTGAAACAGTGTTAAACAAGACCATTTTAACATAGAGTAAATAGGAATAGGGGAATACGCAACCAAAAATAAAAAAAAAATTACTTTAATTTTAAGTTATTTTTATATTAATTTGTATAATAATATATGTTAAATAATACATAAACATATGAACACAAAAATGTGAAGTTCATTTCTTGTGATGAAGGTCCTGACTTTTCTGAAATTCTTGTTTTTTGCAATAAAATCATGCAGTTTCATTTGTCGCTTTTTTCTTTCCTTAAGCAAATGGTAGCAGATCGCATCCAAAACACCTCATTTTGCTTTTGCACTCCTTTCAAAATCTAGATCATTCGCTACAATTTGATCAATGATTTTGGTTATCATTACCAAACTTTTACTAAAGAAATCTGTAGCAAGTTCTTTGGATTCTTCATTTTCAGAATCTCTATTTTCAAGTTCGACATGAATTCCTTGTTCTGCCAGTTCTTGAAGTCATTGTTGGTAAGGCTCTTACCAGAAACCTGCAGTAACTCCCCAATATCCTGCTCATCTACATTACATCTCCTGTATCAATTAGTTTGACAATTTGGTCAACCTAACGATAGTGATGGGCTCTTCTCATTGAGAATTCTTGAATACCTTCAGCCATAACTTCTTCCACACTCTGCTCATGCATTTATCAGTTAATTCTTGCCAAGCCAAGTGGCAAGAATTAACTGATGGCTAACCTATGGCATCCATGATGTTATATTTTTTCCAAAATTGTACGAAACAAACATAGATTTAAGGAAAGTACAGTGTTATGACAAATTGCCACCCTTTGCTGATTGGTTCGTGTTTGGGAATAATCGTATTATATATGAATCAATGAAATACCACATTAATTTAAATCAGCATAAATTTTGAGCGTTTTTTTAGGCATCAAGCAGACCGCGTTATATTAAATCAGCATTAAAAAAGGCAGTGTTAAGCAGGGTCTTACTGTACTACAGTATTACTACTGATATGATCAATGTTGACAATTTTTAAGCCCTAAATTTGCCAAAATCAGTGATATTTGTTACCCAACTTTATGCCTATTAAACTAATTATTAAACTATGTATCAAAGTGCAGGAAATTAATGAAGTCTGTAGTCCATTACAAAAGTATAAATTTATACCTTACTAAATTTTATAAAAATTTTAATATACTGGAAAGAAATTAGAAATTATGTTTTGTTATGCAATAAGAATTATTAAAATAAAAAATGATAAATATTTGTAATTTACAGTAGACCCCCCGATAACGTGGGTTCATATAATGCAGATTCATACATCGTGGCGAAAAAATTGCAACCATATTTGTATAAAAACGCTAAAAGAGACTCGGAAAATGCAGTAAAACGTCATCGCCAACTCATGTCACGACAGGATTGGTTGAAGCTGGACCAATAGTGGACGAGCAGCCGAACTACTTACATGCTATGGAGAGTTTAGGTGGGTAAGTTGAGTTTATTATCGTCTTTACAGTATATAGGCCTAAATTAGGTACTGTAAGTCTAATACAGTACTGTAATTTTATACATTTCTTGTGAAAAAAACATTTCTTATTCAACGGTCATAAAAATTACAGTAGAGCATCGATTATCCGACTCAATTGGGGACTGGGGTTGGTCGGACAATTGAAAAGTCGGATAACCGAAAAGTATGAAAAAATCCATTATAAGTATAGTATATTATTATATCCCATGTAATTAGTATATTATTATATTAGTATATCGCTATTAACCTACTTTGCGTTGAATTTTCCTCCATGTTAAGCCTATCAAATTTTTTTAAAAATAATAATCGTCGCTATTGTATCGTTAAAAATTAGAAAATTAAGCCTCATTTAAATACTGGCTCCCTTTCATGTTCAATCCAGTGTTGCCAGCTAAAACACGTTAAAATAATATTAAAGTAGCCAAGACATAGCCAAATATTGTAGCGCCACATCACTAGTGGACATTTGAATTTGCCGACTAGAACGCGGTCGGTTAACCGAGGTGACAGTTAATCGGGGGTCAGATAATATAATTGATGCTCTACTGTACAGTATTTCTATTAATGATGTCTCCAAAGTTCAACGAATTTTTCGCAGAAAAATAACTTATCAGAAAACATGGCCGCCGTTTGGTACGCTACTCCGCGACAAAAACAAGCTTAGTAATGGTGTCATTGAACGGTGCACACTCGGTAAGTAATCCTACAATTTTTTGTTTATAGTATAGTTTATACAGACTATTCCCAAAAAATTATACGTGTTTTGAAAATGTTGAGTGAAATTAGTCTAAAATCAGTTAATTTTATGGAAGAAAACCTTTCAAACAGCTGTAACTTGAACATGTGCTGGGTTGTGATTGGCTCATGTATTTGAGGATCCCTACAACGTGAAATTCTTATAAAGTGGAACGTATCTACCGTGTTGTAGGGGGGCCGACTGTATTGGTATTATTTATCATTTTCACACTTAGTTCTTATTTTTTAAAATCAATTCATTAACACCTTACCTCCAATTGAGGGTATGAACAATAATTGTGGGGAGTTCCGAAAGGGTTAAAATAGTTTCGATAATGTAATGTGGATTAAAATTTTTCCAGAGTATTGCAGATTATTCTCTCAAATTCATGATAAAGCATTTTTAAAATCTCAAAATGTTTAAAATTTAAAAATGCTGATTGATCTGGCAGTATATTATATTAGGAACTGTTTGATCCTTGGAGTTTTGCAATGCTCTACCCAATGTTGCATTTTATTATAATTCTTCAAATAAACTATTAATGTTAGTTTTGAAAGTGACCTGCAACTGTCAGTAAAAGTAAACCTTTGTATTAACTGTCAAAACGGTAAAATAAAATTTTTAAAAAATTAAACAATTTGATGTGATTTAAAGTTCTGATTTTGAGTAATTTTAGAAGATTCTTAAAATACAATAGAACAATAAGTAAGGCTTATTACACGCATAAAATTAAAATTAATTCATTATATGCAATTATGTGCAAGGTTCAGCACTAAGCACCCCAGAAAAATTTTCAGTGTTTTTGGAAGATGGTTTCGATGATATCAGGTAAGGAAAGCAGTTATGCACATAAGACACAAAAATTTTGTTGCATGTCAATTTTATGTTTTCTATGCTACCTTATGTTTACTGTATTTATGTACAAATAATATTAACAATAAATGACGTTAGAATAAAATAGCTCATGTTTCTTTTGTAAATTGCTTATTTTTTCATTCAATTGAAGTTGTGGATACTATCAAGCATTTTTCTAAAAGATGCATTAACTGTACTTTTTTATGAGATGTTTTTTTTACACAATGTTTTTTGGAACATATCCACTGCACAAAAAGAGGGATAAGTGTACCTTGCGTTGCCTTCCAGTAAAAAACTGGAAGGTTACGCAACAGACTGAATAGTGACAGCTAGCAAGGTTTCCAGTTTCAATACCCAATGCTAATACTGGCTGGTATCAATACTTTAAGACCAATACTATTACCAGTATCAATAGTTTGAAACTACTTGTGATACCAGTATCAAACTTTTATGGAATCAAGACATCATCCCTAATCACCAATAAAACAGAAGTAATACATTCTGAAGATTGGAGAATGAGTTTTTATTATAGAATGTAGATAGATATAACAAATTCATTCAAACATTTTCATATATTACTTACATTTACCCAGATATTTTTTCAAATATTAAAGGATTAGTATTGTAATTCTATTATATGCTTCATAAGATGTAAGAACTATAGAGAAGTTCTGGATCTACATGTAAAACTAGTAGATGCCACAGGAAAGAATTTCATCTTGCAGGATTTCATTATAATGTCCAGTCTTCAAAAGTCAAACTAGTTAAACTATAACTATATATTAAAAAGTTTCTTTAAATAGACTGAATGTGTAATAAGCCTGTTCATTAGTCATGTGTAACTAAGTAGTTTTTGTATTAGTTATACTTAAAAGTATAACTAATGTTATTTCATTATCTGTCTAATGTTATTTCATTATCTGTTAAACTATGTTTGTTGTTTTTAAAAAAACAACAAACATAGTTTAACAGATAATGAAATAACAAAAAGAAAGAAAACAACATTTAACATTAAAATAAATTGAAATATTTTATAATAAATTTTTCAAGTTACAAATTGGAACATTAGATTGATTCATAACTCAAAAAAGAAGAAAACTATTTTGGTGTTAAGCAAATTAGAAAATAAACAAACAGTAATTTTTAAAAAGTCTCTTTTAACATAAAATAGTTGAAGGGCTTGGTAGAAAAATGGTGTATCATCAGGAAGTTTTGAAGAAAAAGGAGAATCTATGTTTGAAGTCATCAGCACTTTAATATGCAACATTTTATTAAAGTAGGCATGTAAACCATGAAAATTTTTAGAAGACAGATCAATAATGCACAAATCCAAATTTGTTAACAACTCATTTTTTTTGTAGTTTTGTGGGTTATGCCATTTTTCCACTTAACTCTAAATTAGTAGTTTAAACAAAACTAAAATCTTCAGTTTTGATACTATTGCTGACATATAAAGAATGGAATATTAACTTCATACTTCTTACACTCACTCTAGCACAAAATTTTATGAATTATGAACACACAAACGTTTTCAATTTTGTAGCTTGTTTGTACAAAATCTGATGTACAAAAATGGTTTGCCTGTCTGATTTTACAGCCCCTTAAAGTGGCTGAAAATGTTTGTCTGTTCATTAAATTTTCTGTACTGAAGTAAGTATAAGAGGTGTGATATGTTTTTAATCAATGGTTCCAACTATTGAGAGTGTTTAGATATTATATCAAAGCTGTATTTAGGATAAACTATGCAACCAAACCAATACCAGCAACTATGTAATTAATAAATAAAGAAATATTTACTAATGTTTTCATCCATTAATAATAGATATCATCAGACACATAACACAGAACAAAACGGCTACATTGAAATCAAATGCATTATACAAAGAATTTACATGTTCAAATTAAAATTGTCAATGGAACAAAGTATGCTTACAATTTAAAATTATGTATGTTTAAACAAACATCTCCAACCCGATATATAATTATAGCTACAACCAACAGACTGCCGAAAATCTATCGGGCTAGTTTTATGCTATTTATTAGATAAATTACGTAATCAAACCTCTAGTACCAAATTGATTATGTAATTTATCTAATAAATAGCATAAAACTAGCCCGATAGATTTTCGGCAGTCTGTTGGTTGTAATTATGTATGTTACTATACATTTTAAAATCATATCCTGAACAATATGTATTATATGCCTGATAATGTCTATTATAAATGGACGAAAACATTAGTAAATATTTCTTTATTTATTAATTACATAGTTGTATGAGGTTCCGAATCCAGACTTTCAGTATGTTTATATCATTATCTCCTAATATCACATCGTAGTTATACTTCCGTTAAATAACTGTCAACTTTTACACCTGGGAGCTAAACATCTGTTAAGTTCTCAGGCCTAGTAACGATGCTTTCTCATCACCTTTCAACCTAATATCTCGATTTCAACAGTACAACATTAGAACAGAACAACAAAGTGATGCAGTCGTCGCCCTGTCCTAGAAGAGATCAGTCGCAAGCTCTTTATCTTTTTCCGTGTGAGTTGTGCTTTTTCACTGGATTAACTTTGTCGTCCATCAGACTTATTAAGTGCCTATTATCTGGATTATCTGGATTAGGCAAAATACTTGATTGCCTAACTGGACTAACTTCATAGTCAAGAGCCTCAAGACCTACTAGCAAATCACTAGAACTCAAGATATTTATCACCACGTGCATTTACTGTAAACTCTCTCTCTTGATATATTTTATGGCCTATAATTACCTATTAAACAGTTGTTACGTTAACTTATCTCTGAGTAAGTCACTTCCAGTGCACTGTCTCTCCCTCCATCCCAAATCCGTTCGCTCACACACACACAATCATTTGCACGAGCACATAACGGTTTCTGTGTCTGTTCGTAAAGACACAGTGGTGTCAGTCCTGACAGACCTTGTCACTGCAATCTTCGCCGATGTGATGTTGACCCTTCGGTCACGTGGTGCCAAAGTATAGTGAGGCCCTTCGGCATTGTCACAGTTGCTATTATTGGTTTGGTTGTATGAGTTTATCCTATCCCAGTTTTGGAGTGTTATGTTATATTTAGGAATTTTAGTGATCCTTACTTACAAATTGATCAAAGTTTCAAGAGTTATTTCAAGAGTAATAAGGAAGTTATTTTTGTCAATTCTTGAAAATAATTCTATGATGTTTCAATTACTTTCAGAACTGTTCAATTCTATTCCTCTTTTATTTCTATTAAACAGTTTATTTTCACTTATATTTTTCTAAGTATTATGTAACTTCTGAAACACAAAACTAATTCTAAAAACTTAGTTTTAACTTATTTTTTGCTTGTAAAATCTCTCATGTTCTTGAATTCTGTAAAGAATGTAGAGTGGTCCCTATATTAAAGCCATTTTACATTCAACTCAATAGAGTAATGCACAGGAAAGATTAGAAAAAAAAGCTACAACTAAGGTTTTGGAATTCTCTAAATAGGAATCCTATAACTGAAATATAAAATTGTTCTTTAGATACTGTGCTTTAACAAAAAGTTCAATCATACATATTTGCCACACTTTATTTCAAAGACTTATTTTGACAAATCTTTAATATTCATCACCAAACGATCGCCTAAATATCGGGCTATAATACGGCTAATTAAATGATTGGAATAAAGTAATTTGACACTAGATAATTTAATATTCATTTTCTTCTTTAATTTATAAAAATCAGTATATAAAATGTTCTCTTACCTCTAGCATTAAATGAGTAAATTCTTCATTAGATAAGAAAGAAGGTTTCCAATTTTCTTGAACCTCTGATGACTGAGACTGAATAGAAATTTCTATAAAAATTGTTTTTTATTAAATAAAAATTTTATAATTATTTAAATAAAAATCAAATCAATATTTTTATTATGAAATTCATACCACTATGACTTCTTAAAAATGAAATTGTGGATTTAAGAACAGATGATTTATCCATTTTTCGAGTAGACGAAGATACCATTGAACATAACTCATTGATGAGTATGTTGAATTGATCTCTTCGTTTCTTTTCACTAAGATTTCTTGACTTCCTACATTTTATGTGCAAAAATAAAGTCAAAATATATATTTTTTTAATTTAAAATACATTTATATTAAAACCATAATTCTCAATTTATTTATTTATTTATAACTTTTCATCCAATTAAAGATATTTAACATAAAACTTCAGTTCTTAATGATTATAAATAAGAATCTAATTAAGATACAAAGTTTGAAATCAATCAACATTGTAATACAAAATATATTAATATAAATTTTTAAAAATTTTAATATTTAAGTCTTTTCAATATAAAAATATGAGTTACAAATAAGGCCAAACTGCAAATCTACATATAAAGTCTAATATAAAATGAATATAACTGAAAAATCAGTTAATATTTTAAAATCAATTAAACAAAGATCATCTTCTAAACTATTTATAGACTAGAAATGAATTAATTTCAAATATTATATAGGAGTGAGTAAAATTGCCATTTTATAAGAACATTAAAATTCTTATAATTAAAAAAAATAACCAAAAAGTTATTTTAAGTTAATTTTTATAAGTGTTTACTAGAAAACATTAACTTGCAAGATTTTTTTTTCAAAATAGGATGCAAAGAAATTTTTTTTTGTAGAAACTATTGCTGACCTGGACTTTGATTTGAACCCCCAAATTCTTGAGTAATTAATAGATTTATCAGTTATCAAGTTATACCATTTGGGNACATTACTGATGAAAAATAAAGAAGTGAAATAATTCTCTCTCTACAGTGGTACCTCAGGATACGAAATTAATCCGTTCCAAAACTGAGACTGTATCATGAAAATGTCGTATTTTTATATATATATATATATATTTATTTATTTAAAAACAACCATATAATCACACTGATATTCTTATGCATTTTGAATAAAAAATATTGTAAGGGAAAATCTTGCTACCCTCGGTTACAAAAGAATATTCATGTTGCGACAGATTTTTCTAATGCAAGAATGAGAATGCTTCTTCAAAAGATAGGGTAAACAGTGCTGTGACATGTTGTATGGTTATATTGCAGGCATTGATGCATATTTAATGTGTAGAGAATTAAGACTTTACCAGACCATACTAAGGAATGACATCTTTATTTTTGAGTATGCCTAAACTCAGCACCATCTGGCCACACATGACAAGTGCAATTAGTGGCTACCAGACAGAAACTGTCTATTTTGAATTTAAAGCATTTTAACAAGTTCTATAAAAGCTATTTTGGAAATATTGCATGATAGTATTAATACAAGTTTCTGCTCTTAGTAGGTAGCAAAAAACTGAGGTTATTTTGTTGTGTGTGACCAATAATTGTACAGTTTATGCTAAGTGAAAAGGAAAAAAAGAACATCTGATCATTTATTTTAAAACAAAATTTACAGTTTGATAAAGAAAAAATAAAGGTATTTAATAATTAAATCTTAAATAATTTTGCCTAGAGATATGCATTAAGTGCCATCTATTGATAAATATCCTAACTAAATAAACTAATTTTTAGAAAGTTCTGGAAAAAAAATTGGCCTGGAGCAGGACTTGAACCTATAACACCTGTTTACTATTATTAAATTTATCAAGAAATAGTGTGCAATCATCAAGATTTCAGAAAATTGTTAACTCATTACAAAAATTATCATCAGATTGAAATTTTTACATTTTAATCTGATGATAATTTTNAAATTGGCCTGGAGCAGGACTTGAACCTATAACACCTGTTTACTATTATTAAATTTATCAAGAAATAGTGTGCAATCATCAAGATTTCAGAAAATTGTTAACTCATTACAAAAATTATCATCAGATTGAAATTTTTACATTTTAATCTGATGATAATTTTTGTAATGAGTTAACAATTTTCTGAAATCTTAGTTATAGAATAATATCAAATCATCTAAAATATAAACAGTAACTACTATAGAATGATCTGAATCATAAACCTTTAGGAAATTAGCTTAATATTCTGTCAGTTAGTCAACTTAATTCCAGCAATTCCTGAAAAATTTAAAATACCTAACTGATGATAATATTGAAAGTGTTTAATTTTCATTAAGCTTTCATGTCTCTTAGAAAATATCTGATAATGATTTAATAAAATTTTAAAGTTTTAGTATTTTTATAAATTAGAGTTATTACTGTTTGACTCAAGATTTGGAGTTGGAGAACACCAATTTAGCAATAATTTGAGATTCAACCCTAATTCAAACTTGTGTTGATGAATACGGAAACTAAATGATACATTCATTTACAAGGTTAACTTCTTTTGACTGATAAGGATTTCTTCTGATTCAATTTTTTAAAGCCTTAAGCATATCTGATCTCCTGGACAATCATCCAAGAAGTGTTATTAACTTAGTTTCCTTATAACTCTGTGGTGGTTGACACTAAATTTAATTTAATATTTATAAATTTTAACAGACAACAAATATCTGGTTTTCTCATTCTTCAAATATAAAATTGCAGAATTTGGTTGCCTTTTTTTTTTGTAATACTATCAGTGAATAGGATGATATCTGTTAGTTTCATATATCTCAGTCTTGAATGTTCAAACGAAAATAAACACATTTCCATCTGTATAAATAAATTTGAAACAGTGGTGTAGCATGGGTGTCAGCTGCCTTATTTAGGTATCTCAATTTAAAAGACTAAAATTCAGTTTCGTTACAGAATAAGTAATGAAAAATTCCATGTTCATTTCAATTGGTCTGAATTGTAGGTGCGACAAAAATATGAAATGAAATGGTTCAAATTTTTACAAGATATTATTATTCTTTATTGTGAAATTTTGCCACCCCATTACGCTATGCCACTGATTTGAAATTTATACCAGAACTTATTGGCATATTAGGTGAGGTAGCTCCATAACTGATGTAAGTATAAAAGTTTACACTAGAAACAAAAAAATATAGTACAGACTTTTCTATTTCGCTTTTTCCCATATCTTCTGAATGTACTGGAAGTTAAGCCAATTCACAACAGTAATGATTGAATGAAATGTCTAATACAAGTGATTTAAATATAAATTTAAAAAGTAAGATACAAATATCAAATATTGAATTTGATAAAAATCTTTCTGTAACAGGCAATTATTTATTGTGACATTGTCACAATTTTTAATCATACTTTTAATTAATTTAATTTAAAATATATGTTCACCACCTCAAATTAGTACTATAGTGTCTAGCCCCTGTACATCATACTTTTCTCTTAGCAATAGAATCATGTCAGTCATCTATTAACTGCTTTCAGGGGAAATTTTGAATTGAAATAATGTGACTTCTGGTTTGAATTGGAAATTCATATATAGTTAATCAGGGCCTCCTGCTCCTAACATTTCCATATCTGATCTTGGATTTTATCTATCTAACTATTCTTGAAATTAAGGAAAGACGGACAGACAACAGTGGGAATTTATAGGTCTACAATTTTGTGAAATTGCAGCCCAATAATTAATTAAAGTGACAAGTTTAATAATGCCACAACTAGTTATATGCTCATTACTGTTTTGCTATGTATCACAAGAAACACTAAGGAGCTTGGAAAAAAATAATTAAAATTTATTTGTTCTAATTTTAAAACGTTATTTTTAATAACATTTATAATAACGAATATGATTTATTAGACCATCTGTAATATAATCATTATACACAAAAAAAAAGTACTTATTAATTATTGAATATTACATTTTGAGTTAGGTCTGCTTTGGATACTTCTATATCCACTATAGAAGTCTTTCCTTGGATAACTTTTTGTTTGTGACAACTATTTTTCCAGTTACACAAAATTCCGTAATCCAGTGGTTTCCAAAATTTTTGTACCTCTGCACCCTCTTTTTCAGAAAAAAGTTGTGCCTCCCTCAATTTTCATAACTATTTAATTTCATAAATACTGTCCTTATAATTTATTTGAGGGCCTACAAAACAAATACCTTATTAAATAAAGTATATTGTTCACTGGGACTCGACTCTTGTCGAGTTTTTTCACAAGAGTGTGGATGGACTTTTAGCATTTGTACCAGAGTCATTCGGATGAAAGTTGTGAATTAGGCATAACCATTTGCTGATTAACTTTTTCAACATAAGTTTGACTTTTATTTTCATTTGTTTGTATTAAAAAATGATAATTTGGTAAAAGCTGTGTATCCCCTTGCAAAAACCTCATGCCCCCACAGATTGGAAAATGCTGAAGTAGCCAAAAATCCCTGTAAACCATCATTTACTAAAAAGTTTATTGACATAAATCCTTGCGAATACAGTTGATTTAGAGTATTTTCATATAAACCATTGTCTTAATTTTTGGCAAGTTTTATGTAACTTACCATAACAAAAATCTGTGTGCAGTAGTTTAAGGCATTTCCAACTATCAGTGCCAGCTGAATGATAACCTCGCATTAGGTAAAATAAATTTTTTCTTTTTCGGTTTCCAGAACAGTTGCCAATACAGCACTACAGTAGAGCGTCGATTATCCAAATCAATTGGGGACTGGGGTTGTTCGGAAGATCGATGTTTCAGATAACCAATTACGTATGAAAAAATATATTACTTTATCCCATCTTGACATTTTTCTCTGTTGCATGTCGCTTTGCGTTGAATTTTCGTCAATGTTAAGCCTAACGAAGACTATTATATCATTAAAAATTATTTTTTTATTTTGTACGAACAAAATAAATATATTGAAAAATATAAAAACAATAAAAAATTACACTTTAGAAGTTAATTTAGTATCAAAAACGTAAAATATTTGAGTAACCCAAGACATAGCCAAAGATTGCAGCACCACAGCACTGGCAAAAAATTTAAATTTGACGTTTTGGATTATTGACTTTCAGATAATCGACGCTCTACTGTAATATAGCACTAATAAACTGTTTTTTGATTATTATTTAAAATTATTTAATTAAATTATAATTATTAAATTTAATATGAAATGGTATCTAACACCTCCCTCTTAAGGCCAAATTGATTAGTAAGTTGTAATTATTATTGCCAAATTATAGCCCGAGGATATATGGCAGTTGGAGGGATATTATTGCTATGTATCGGGTTTGCTGTGGATGTTTATTATATATTTATATATATGCCTTGCTGGGTATGTGATGGCCAACTGTGTGCCTTATGTGGTAGTTTACAGGATGTGGGTGCTGAATGCACCCCCAGTCAGCACTGTAGTAACCAACAATGATTATATCATAATATTAAATATACTGGAAGAGATCAGACTGGAGGTCGGGGTAGCATAATTGGCAACACATCCACACAGTAAGAGGGAGTTGCAGGTTTGAGTCCTGCTCCGGGCCAATTCTTTTCTTCTAGTTTAGTCTAAAATTATTTAATTAAATTATAATTATTAAATTTAATACAAGATGGCACATAACACCTCTCTCTAAGGCCAAATTTATTAGTAAGCTATAATTATTACTGTATTGCCAAATTATAGTCTGAGGATATACAGCAGATGGAGGGTTAAACTGTTTTTAAACACTTTAATATATATTTACTGTATTTGGCTTATTATTTTTATTTGTATGTCCTCCTTTTGAACATTTTTGACTGCTCATTTTGCCACCACTCTCACTTTACACTTGAGGTAACTGGCTTGATGCCTCACTCATCAAGCCAGCCCTACAAATTATCACAGTATTTAATTTAGATAATAATAATGAGCTAATACTATTGTAAGATTTCTGATAGGGACATGATAGTCAAGATTGATGAGGGGTCAAGAGGGTTGCATGTGGGTGCAATTGGTGCTGAGACAGACTCTACAGTTACAACTAACCATCTATTTGACACGAAAGAAGCTTAGTTCAAAATCGGCGGCAGCCTCTAGATCTTCTTCTCCTTTCCAAGATAAACCCAAAAGAAGTGTCCTTGATTCACAAATGAGAATTTTTTCAATGTCTTGACAGCTCCACAATGATGCAGTCGACTTCCAGTGATGAGAAGATGTTAATCCGAGGAAGAGAGATGTAGATGAAGATAGGCATGAGACACATACATAAGAATTGATCTGACAATTGGAATTTTCAGGAGAAGAAGCTGCCACATTCTTGAATTTATGGATGTTTATAAATTAAGTGACTAATCAAATTGGGCAATTTCAATTGGTCCATTTCAATTGGTCACTTTTCCTTGTCCTCGCTTTCTAAATGGTTGATAATTGTTACTAAGTACAGTAATACCTTGGTTTTCATTGACTTTGGTTATCATCGGTTTCTGTTTTCGTTGATTTTTTACCATGAAAAGTTTGTCTCGGTTTTCATCAGTTGCCTTGGATTTCGTCAGCATGACTACATGACCTCACTGCTAATTTTGCAAAACAAAGGGCGACCCACATGTTTTCCTGCTTAGTGTAGCATTGTGTGAACATCACTCCACATATTTAGGCAAACAATTCCATTGCTTTCCTTTCCTTTTAGCTTTATCATGGAAACAAAGAAAGTTTCCAAAGCCAGCAGCCCTTCAAAGAAGGCCAGGAACACGATCGATTTGAAAGAAACCATTGAAAAATATGAGAGCAGCATTAAAATTGCTGAAATCAGCTGCATGTATGGGAAGTTGTTATCCATGATAAGTTCCATTGTGCCAAAAAAAGAAGCAATAAAGGAGGCTAATGTAGTGAAAGGCATAAATGTGCTAACGAAACAGAAATCACAAACAATTGAAGATGTCAAACAATTGTTATTAATTTGGATCAATCAAAAACAGTTAGATGGTGATTCTGTTTTGGAGGCCATCATATTAATCTTTTATATTCATTTTATATTAATTTTTTATTGTTTTTACTATTAAATGCTCTATTTATTCTCTATAAAATGTATTTTTAGTATTGTATTTTGGAGTGTCTAGAACGAATTAATTGGATTTACATTGATTCATATGGAAACAATTGCCTCAGTTTTCATTGGTTTCGAATTTTGCTGATTGTTTTTGGATGGATTATTGATGAAAACCGAGGTATCACTGTATAACAAGATCTCAACTTAGATCACGGGAGAGGTCAAAATTGAAGTTTAATTCAATCCCAACCAGAGATGGTTGATCTTAGGACTTACATTCTTCTATTGTTTATATGTTTTCATTGCATTTTTCATACAGAAAAGTATATTTTTAACTTTTTTTCTTCTTTCAAAAAATATTTTAATGTGAATTTTAGTTAGGTTATGTATCTGTCCAGAGCCTCACATTATACTTAGTATTTATTACTATATGACAAGTCAGTGAAGCAACAATGACTTATGAATCAAATCTGACTTACATCATCATATCAAACTTCTTACTACTATTTGCAAGTAAACTTTTTGTTTAATTTTTGATATAATACTCTATAGCTACTGTTTCTTTTAAAGTGAAATTAAATAGAATTTAATAAAATTATTTTTAATGTTTGCCAATTACATGAAGAAATGTTTTAATATAGAATATCCCTATTTTGGTAATTTAAATAAAAAAATTCAAACAAATTATTTCAGATTTCAAATTGCTGAAATATCAAACTTCAAGATATGTGAACCTAAGTTTATAACACGAAAATGAAATTTAAGATTACATTTATGGTTTACAATTAATGTTTATTGCAAGAATTCAAAGAATAAATTACACAAAGTTTTTAAGTAACTTCTTACAATTAATTCCTATAAATTGAGGAATGGTTATTCATTTAACATGTTGACTGTGATCGCAGTTATAAACACCTGATTCCCTCCTACTCAACTACACAGATGTATACAGGGCATGGAAACTTTCGCAGATACCTGAAAAGGTTTCTGAATAAAACTGATGGACTCTGCCCATGTCCTCTCAAAGAACAGGAAGACCCACTGCACATTCTCTTTCACTGCCCTATCTACTCAAGCCAACGAAAGGGACTCATAAATGAAATACATAACAGGAATGAGCTCTGGCCCTGTGAGCTTAGGGTCTTCACGGAAAACAAATACATCTCCAAAGCCAAAAAGAAATTCATTCAAGACATCAAGATATTAGACTAGCACGGTGTAATCTATGCTTGCTTCCCTGTTACTATCATGGTAACAGTAATTGTGTTCCCTGTTATTCAATGTAAATCTTTACGTCACTGTATACCATCTCCAAAAAATTTTTCAACAAAGTCACCAAATTATGTACGTGAAAGTAAGACTTGTGTAACTCTCCACTCTGAAATTGTACTCTCTGGATTTTATGTGTATCTTCTGCAATGTAACAACAATGTATTATCTGTCTACATATTCATCAGCATCCTTTGTCTGTTTATCTACTGTACTAACTGTATACAACTGTAATTAATGTAATGTAAGTATTTGTCTTAAATGTATGCGATGCGGACGCCTTTGTGTCTCATAGACTAAGGTCTTTTCCCTCTAAGCTATCTCCTATACTTCCCCATCACCCTAACTTCTTCATACTCAACTTTACATCTTCCTCCTGCTTCTGGTCTTGGGCTATACCACTGAGTGCGGCCCATACCCAACTTCACTCGATGACTGTGATCAATGTGCAAGTGCACTCAGAACCTGTCTGGATGATGCATAGGACACATGAATGCAATCATTGCTTTACTGAATTTAAGTGATGCAATTAATCATCAGCATTGGTGAATATATCACTAGTAGATTTTTCAGCATTGAGTAAATGACTGAAATAATGTTATTTTATGTTTCGTTTACACTTCCATACTTTTACAAAATTTATACTATAATTGACATTAATCTTATTATTTTCTTATAATAAGAAAGGGAAAAAAAGCAAATGTATCATCAATACTTAATGGATGAAGTGTTAAATAGAATCTTCACCTTTTCTAATGACAATTTTTACTTCTATCATCATCTAGACTTTGTTTAAATTATATTTTAACATATCATACATCATAAGTAATATTAAAAAAGTATTAATTTGTCATTCATGGGAAACAAAACAGAATAGCACCTTTAATTCTATTTTGCAATAATTTTATATTCATGTTATAAAATTTTTATTCATATTTTACAACTTTATAAGTTATATTTTACAAGGGTATTAAAATATTTTAAGTGCAAAATAATACAAAATAATAAAATGTTTGTTTTTTTAAAAATATGATCATTTCTTATTTTTTTTAAATAATTAATTATGAATAAATGTGTTTATGGTTATTCACCATAATAACAAAGTAGATACATTTTAAGACAGTTACATACCTCTTTGAGTCATCTTTCTCATCATTATCATCATCCATGCTGTTGAAACTAAAAAATAAATATTTATACATTATTATTATAGATTTGTTAATAATATTTTAAATGCAAATACTGTATACGGCAATAATTGTATTCTAAAATATTATTGAAAATAAATGATTGTATTAATATTTGATCAAAATTTATTCTGTAATCATTATATTTATAATTAATAATGAATAGATTTAAAAAAAGAAAAAAAATCAATCATTCTCTGCTATATTTAAAAAATATTATTTTAATAATAATATACAGTATAATATATACACCCAGGGCACCAATCAGAGGGGGGACAGGAGGGGCAGCTGCCCCGGGCCTCACAATATTAGGGGCCTGAACTTGGCAACTCAATATGTTAGACAAAAATATAAAAGGCAAAAGTGATGTCACAGCTCGTAGAATGGCCTTAATTTTACAGTTATTAAATTATTCAAAAAATATTTGAGAAAAACTTTTCTAATTTTTAATATAGAAAACACTTTGCCTCAACTGTCCGTAGCTAAAGCAGATATAGAATTTCTAATCAAATTAAAAGAACCTAGCTGAATAATAAAGTTTTTTGGTGTCTGGCACCATTAATACAAAAACAGAATATTCTTTCTGAATTCCCTCATAATCCCGCTGAAATCCTTCTGAATGTAAAAAAATTGCAACTGAAAATGAAATCACTCCAGAATTTGAAATAAATTCAAAAAAGACCAAAAATCTGCTGAAGAATATTTTCATTTAAACATTTTTAACAAAATTATCAATTCAATAATAAATGGACTTACATCTCGATTTCAAGCAATTTCTTCAATTTGTAATTTTTTGAAGTTTTACAAAAATATAATGAAATGGATCAAGATGATATAGTTTCAAAGGCAAAATTATTGCTAGAGAAATATAAAAACGAAATAAGTGATGAAACTGTAGAACTAATACTCTAATACTGCTGAAGCGTGTTTACAAATCAAAATTTTGAACTAAGCATGAAACCGGCAGAATTACTTAAGGAAATTATCGACATGGAATTCATGAACATATTTCCCAATTTTGCTTTTGAATTTTGCTTTTTTGAATTTTTTGGATTTTGCTTTTGAATTTTTTTAACCTTCCTGTGAGGGTGGCAGAAGGTGAGAGATTATTTAGTTATGAAAAGAATTAAAAACTATCTACAATCGACAATGAGTCAGGAATGATTAAATGGACTAGCAACACTCAACATTAATTACCAGATAGCGCATATTTTAGCCTATTCTGAAATAATTAATGAATTTGCTAATTTTAACATTAGTAAATTCACTGATTATTTCAGAAAGCCTCAAAGCTTCTATAAAATAATTAAATGTAATAATCCAAAAAAATATTAAATACCATTGACTTTCTATAGTATTTGGCTGGCATTGCCATTAATCACTATATCTCCTATGGAGTCATTGACTTTAATATCTATATCTCCTATGGAGATATAGATATTAAAGTCAATGACTTTATTTTCTTGTCCACAATTTTATTTTAGATTTTGAAGGGCCTCTAAAATATGAGATGCCCCAGGCCTCACATTTTCTCTGAAAGGCCCTGTATATACCTGTACATATATATATATAGTGATGGTGCCAAATTATTGTAGAGTGCAAAACAAAGCAGGGTAAGGACTTTGAAGGGTGTATTTGGAGTCAGATAAACCAATATTTGTAATTGGCAAAACATGAAAAACATCCTGCTTTGGCTCACAAAAAATATGGCCATTTTATTATATTGATATATAAAAATAAATTACTAAAAATTTAGTATAGCAATACAAATATTTATAAAAACATTGGCATAGATAATAAACAGTTTTGTCAACAGAAAATATCAATTTTATCTTCTAAAAATCTACATTTTATTTTGTGAAAGTCTTCAAATAACAGAAATTTAATAATATTTTATGTTCAAACAAAGTATTTCAAAAATAAAATTGAGAAACATAATGAAGTAAATATAAATATAATAAATTTCATCTATGTTAAGTTAATTCTTCTAGCTATACACCAACCAAATTTGGTTGGCGTATAGCTTTAAATGTATCGAGTGTAGGAATGATATTTGATTATTTAATTCTTCTAACCTAACACTTAAACATGCCATATTGTATACAATCAAGAGTAAATTATTAAATATCTAGCATGTATAATTCATTACACTAAAAACTAATTTGATTTGTTCTTGGCATATGATAAGCACAGTAAACAAATCGTAAAACTTTGCATCAACCTAGTAATTAACAAATGAAAAATTATCTGTGTTCAAAGTAGTGGCATGTTCCTGTAATCCAATTACTCAGATGCCAGAATAAGAGGATGCTTAAAGAGTGGAAATATCTTTATTTTTGTCCTATGTCAAATCAGATGTTGCATTTAGATCTTGCATTCAAACCATTATTAACACTTGAAAACTATAATGTAACTTTGATGCTTCCTGTACTCTCATACTGGAGATTTGTGCAAGAAATCATATGATTGAAATTTGCATACTACAAATGTAGCAGCACTATTGGAGTTTTTCATTCTGTATTTTTACAGTAAACCAATGTATGTTGCCACTGCTTTACTATAACATATACATATAAATACATGAATGTATGTTTTTGAATAATTTTTCTCTACAGGCACTAAGAGAGCTTTTTAAGCTCATTATTGGTTTGGCCAGGCTGGTGGTAAGGGACATAGTCTAATGTATCTGGGACAGACAATCGTCCAAAAAATTCCTGTAATTTTTCAACCAGATTTGTTCCTAGTTTCCACAGAATAGTAGGCTAACAACTTAACCACTCAACTATCTGGCTGTCAATATACATATTAATTAAATTATTATTATTGTATATATTTGTATATAATAAACAAAATTATAATTTAATTTTTTAAATATAATGTTTAATATGTAAATAATTTTGTGATAATATAATTATAATGTTACCTGCAAAAATTTTCCACCCTCAAAATTTTTGTTGTAGATGTAAGCCTACTTTATCCATACATAACAATGCCTCTGACTAAACTAAATTAAGCTTTTTCCAAAAAACTATAAAATATAATTCTTCATTGTGTCTACTGAAAGTTTTGTTCTTTCTCTTCATATAAAATACAAATTAAAAGAATAAAATTTTTACAGTAACATAATATTAAAGTGATATATTTATAATGGAATATAAACAAAAATATCCCTAAACTAGGCTGACCATAACATTTACAATCCAACAGGGGACACATTTCAGAATCAGTGAAAATAAAGTATAAAACTGATTGAACTTTAGTTATTTTTAAAAACTTATTTATTTATTGATCTATAAATTGGTGCTTTATATTGGGTGTAAATAAAGTTGTTCTATTCAGAGATTGATTCTACAATCAAATATCAAAAACAGGCAAAACCAAGGACATCTGGTCACCCTACCTAAACAAGTCAAGAAACCAAAGGTATTCGTTTCAGTTTAATATTTTTCCAGTTATTTGACATCTTGTTGTTATATTAAATTGTAAACATATTGGAACATAGAAGGTATCAATTTTAATAAAATCAATCTGACAAGGAGATGCAAAATATATCGAAAAAGGTTTAATCCAAATAAATAGATTTAATTCTTGAACTATTTAGCTACAGTACATTTTTGTTTGTTTGAATGAAAAATGGATTTTATTGATTCAAAGAAAACATGAATTCTCAGTGTAGATCACATTTAAAACTTAATAAGCTATCTTCAAACAATGCATGATCAAACTGGATTGTTTGTAGAAACATAACCAAACAATTGCCTTAAATAATTGGCCTATAACTCCACTAATTTAATGAGTTTGGTTATGTTTCTATATACATATCAGGTTTCACAACGTTTGATATATTGGATTATTTGGCTAAGAAATCTCTCATCTTTCTCCAAATATATTATTACAGTGACTAAATTTTTAAAAACTCTACTTAAATTAATCTATAACTTACAGTAAATATGTAAACAAGAAAAGAAAAACAACATAATTATTATTAACTTAAATTGTGATCTAAAATAATATATTAAAAGTATGAATAGAGCTCTAGAAAAATGTTTTTGTTTTCTATGAATTAAACTTTTGATTGCATTTTTAATATAAATTGCAGTTCTTTTATATTAAGGACTAAAGACTAAATGTTAATGTGAACTTTTACTAGGTTTTAAATGTCAATTTTTAAAATTATAAAACATTTTCACTCACCATATGCTAACAGCTACTAAAGCTTTCAACACATGAAGAAATAGAAATATAGAACCTAAAATACAATGCTTTTATATTATCTAAGCAGATTATTTAATTCTATACATAAATTTTCTTTGAAATTATTAAATTATAGAGCTCAAAGTTTAATGTATTGTTTAGAGTGGCCTTAGATTTCCTATGTACTGTACAAGACAGAGTTCTGAATTATTTATTAATTTTTTTAAGCTTCTGTATGACAGATACTAATGAATATATAAGATTAATTATTTGTGTTTGGGTTCATAACCATCCCAATTTATTTTAGGATGTTGTAAAAAAAAAAGAAAAATTCTTTCTTAGGCAATCTGGTAGCTATAGGTTTCCCATTTGGACATCAATATTGTGATTATTGTAGATATGTAATTGACAAAGTGTATTGATATTGATGCAGATATAACCCTCTAATCAAGCCATCTGCTAGTGCACTTCCACTATTTTTCCTATATTTTGGCCAATTCCTTTTGTAATTTAATGCAATGATTTAATTAGCAGATATGTAAAGATCTCAGTTTTAAACTGCATTTTCAACATATGCTAATTGTTATCACTTAAAATATTTGTATCAATAAAATGCAGTTACCATTAATTCCTACCCAAGAGATAATTCCTACCCAACATATTTAAATACGTAAAAGAAAATTTTATAACAAAAATATTTAGAAAAACCAATCAATAGGTATAACAGAATAATGTATTATACTTTTTCAAAAAACATCAAAAAAACATGACAAATAATAAATATTGAAATAAG